CCGGATCCGGTTTTTTGTTGACGCTCGTTTTCCCTTGCAAAAAACAATAGAAAATGAAAATTCTTGTTTTTACTTGATCAAATTGCAAGAATCCCTTGCAAAAAATAAGGTAAAGTGGACATTCGTGCGCGCAAGACGAAATCCTTCCAAAACCTTAGGTTTCGTAGCGATTTTAACATAAAAACATCAAAAACCCAATGGTTTTCTCAGAAAAAATTGTCAAAATGTCCTTCCGCGCGCTCTTGCGGATTCCTAGGAAACCCACCAGATTTTAAACATTTCTGTTAAAAGGGCCTTTGCGAGGAACCTTTTCAGGTGCTTCGACCTTCTGCAACAACGGTTGCGAGCCTACGAGGGCCACCATCCCTTGCAAAAAATGACACGAAGTGCACATGCGCGCGGCCGCCGCGCGCGCGTGCCGAAATCCTGCCAAACATAATGTGATTTCAATAATTTCAAGATGCGATGTTCCGAAAACATATGCAAACGCAAGACTTTCTCATCCGAAAAATATCAAAATCCACCCGCGGGCTCTTCATGAATCTTTAAAACCCAAGATGGCCCCAAGAGGCGCTCAAGATGGCCCCAAGAGGCGCCCATGAGGCCGCAAGAGGCGCCCAAGATGGTCCCAAGAGGCCCCAAGAGGACTCCAAGAGGCCCCCAAGAGGTTCCAAAGAGGCTCCAAGTTGGCTCCAAGAGGCCCCCAAGATGGCCCCAGGAGGCGTCCAAGCGGCTCCAAGAGTCCTCCGGGAGGATCCAATAAGCCCCCAAGAGGCCCCAACATGCTTTCAAGAAGCCCCCCAAAGCCTCTCAAGAGGACCCCATGCGGCGCCAGGAGGCTTCCCCCCTTCCCCAAGAGGACCCCCAGCGGCCCCAGGAGGCTTCCCCCCTTCCTCTCACGCTCATATCCGTAGCCATCTCGGATCAAGGTATCGCCTGTGTTCTTGGATCATGGCTTTGACGGCGAAAGACCTTCACGAGCAGTATGGCGCAGAGCTGTCCCGGCCTCCCTTGGCCGACTGCGAGAGTGCGTATTATTTGCATCAGGCGCTCGCGGCAAAGGGTATCAATGCCAGTCACCAGGCGTGCAAGACTTGGTGGGCCAAGTATCGGGTTGTGACTGGCAAGGTCAGTATTTCTAGCGCCAAGGAGCTGGAGGAGCAGCACGGGTCTGCCATCCGCCACCTGGGCATCGAGTATAATACCGCTTACAAATTATGCCGGGCGCTCCGACAGTTGGATCCACCACTGTATGTGCCAGATAGGGTCGCAACGGCGTGGCTACTGCAGTATTCATCGAAAGACACGCTTGTCCAAGTGCAGAACGCTGGCCATCTGGAGAGCTGGTATGGAGAACGTATTCGCAAAGACATGCCCGAGGGGACCACTGACGGGGCCGTCTTGAAGCAGTGGCTCCTTGGACATTTATCTGTATCTGCTAACGCCAGGGTATGCCAGAAGTGACAGCCATCGGGACAACCATCGGGACAACCATTTGGACAAGCATCGGGATAACGATCGGGACAACCATAACCATCAGGACAACCATCGGGGCAACCATCGAGACAACCATCGGGACAACGATACCTTCTCTCTTGTGTCCTCCCACATCCCTCAGGAAGTTGCCCTAAAGATGTGACCGACTCCTCTCTCTCCTTCTCTCTGTCTCTCGCTCTTTCTCTGCTTCATATCTATCATACGTAACACATCTACTTGTGTAATCGCCTTCCCAGGAATTTGCCTCAAAAATGTGACCAACTATCTTGGCACTGCGTACCATCTCACGTGTACCGTGTGCCACATCTTCTCAGGTTGCCTCACACATGTGACGAATTTCTTTCTATATCTCTCTCCACTGGCTCTCTGTCTTGCTCTCTCTCTCTCTCTCTGTCTCTCTGTGCTATGTATGTCATACGCAACAAATGCACCATGCGGGGCACATGCGGGGCCCAAACAAGTGATCAACCTCTGCGGGTGTGTACTCCACGCCAGTGTAGTATCCACGATCGTCCGCGCGCCACGAAGTGAAGTGTCCTGACGTCATAGGGCGGGAAGCTGGGTGTGGGTGGTTCCCGAGAGTCGTGTGGATGTTTGGTAGAGCTTGCATTGCCCCCCCACGAAGTGGGGGTATTGGCTGGCGTCGCATGAAAACCCTGGCACTGGGGAGAACACTGAGCGTTCGGGTAAAATGATTGTTGTTGTTGTTGTTGTTGTTGTTGTTGTTGTTGTTGTTGTTGTTGTTGTGTTGTTGTTGTTGTTGTTGTTGTTGTTGTTGTTGTTGTTGTTGTTGTTGTTGTTGTTGTTGTTGTTTGTTGTCGTCGTCCCACCCGCAACCCGCCCCGCGACCCACCCGCGACCCACCCCGCGACCCACCCCGCGACCCACCCGCGACCCACCCGCGACCCACCCGCGACCCACCCCGCGACCCACCCCGCGACCCACCCCGCGACCCACCCCGCGACCCACCCCGCGCCGCGACCCACCCCGCGCCGCGACCCACCCGCGACCCACCCCGCGACCCACCCCGCGACCCACCCGCGACCCCCGCGACCCACCCGCGACCCACCCCGCGACCCACCCCGCGACCCACCTTCGACCCGAACCACGTTCAAGGTGCAAACCGCACTTTTCGGCGCCTGCGGCCATTCGTTCCAGGTGGAGAGCCCGCGGCCCACCCGCGACCGCGCTCAGGGTACAAACCGCATTTTTCGGCGCCTGCGGCGGGCATCTTTTGCATTCGTTCCCGGTGGAGAACCCGCGGTCCACCCGCGACCCAAGCCACGTTCAGTGTACAAACCAATTGTTTTGGCGCCTGCGGCGGGCTGCTCTTGCATTCCTTCCAGGGGGGGGTGGAGAGCCCGCGACCCACCCGCGACCCGAACCACGTGCACTGAACAAACCAATGCCGCGCAGGCGCGGCGGCAGATTTTTACATGCCGTCTGAGCCCGCAAGGACCTCTTCAAGCCCCGCGCATCCACGCCAGCCCGCCCAGCAATTTCGCCCTGGCGAGCTGCCCTGGTCAGAAAAGTCGGGGAGCATAAAGTGGAAAACAGGATTGTGTTGCAGTTATCTTGGGAAAGGATGGGGAGGCAGGAGGAGTGGGCAGGGGGCGAGGGGGGCGCGGAAGAAAAGAGGATGTAAGGATAATGTGGAAAAAGAAAAGGACGAGGAGCAGGAGGACGAGGGGGGGGGAGGGGGAGGGGGAGGACGAGGGGGGGGACGGGAAGGATGATGATGATGATGATGATGGACGACAATGGGAGGACGACGATGGAGGCCGATGAGGGGGAGGACGACAATGGGAGGGCGATGGTGAAAGGACGAGGAAGAGGAAGAAGAGGAGGAGGAGGAGGCCGAGGTGGAGGAGGAGGACGAGGATAAGGACGAGGACGAGGACGAGGACGAGGAGGAGCCGGAGGAGAGCGCCATCGACAGGGAAGATGGGGGCCACGAGGTCCGCCGGCTCGACGACGCCCGCGTCGCCCGCGCCCGCCTCCTCATTCTTATCCGCAGTTGCGGGGTCCTACGTGTAGTTATATGTATGTTTGTGCGCGTGCGCATGCGTGCGTGCTTTGTGCATATGCATGTTATATAACAAGTAAAGGCGACAAGGGATGTATAAACAATCTCACGCGAGCACCTTAACATCTGATTTCTGCGCGCGTTACTATCGTTTAAGCGCCATTCTATCTAATCCGCAGCACGACTAGATCGCATGGGCGCGTGGCGCTGCATTCCGTTTTCCCTTTATGGCTTGCCGGCCTAATCGTCCTTTCCCCCGGCTTTCCTCCTCGTCTTCTCCCCGTCGCGTTCCCGCCGTCCCCCTTCGCCTCGTCGCCCTTTCATTCCTCCTCCTTTCTTCTCTCTCGCTTGCCCTGGTTAGCCCCCAGCCCTGTTCCTGCCTCTCGCCCCCCCTCAGCTCCCGCTCGCATTGCCGCTTGCGCCCGCGGCAAGAGGCGCGCGCAAGCGCGACCCTATCCCGACCGTTGGGGTCGAGGGCGCCGGGGGAGGGAGGGCGGGGGGGGTCGGGCGAGGGGGGCGGAGGGGGGGGGGGGGGGGGAGGGGGGGGGAGTGCCAGGGAGGGCGATGATGATCACCAGGGGCCCATCACGGCGCGATGCGGCGTCGAAAGCGCGCGGCTCGTGCCCGGCTGTCCGCGTTGGCCGCGGGGTAGAGCTGAGGTGCCCAGCGCGTCGGCCGTTCTGGGTCGTCGGCGTCGGCGCCCGCTGCCCCCGGGGCACGTGGGCGGGGGGGCCCGCGGCCAACCTCGGAGCGCAGCGACGCCTCGGCCATCCCCTTCTTCACAGGCGCAACGTCACTCTGGGCCTCCTCGCGCCCCCCCTCCTAGCCCTCGCCCTTTCCCCTCCGCAATGCAGCGCCGGCCTCTTCTCGCGTTGGCCCTGTTTCCCCATCCCCGCTCATGCGCGCGCCCGCCTCGCGCCCCGATGCCTCGCGTTCGCTGCCCGTATCGGACCTAATCGTGTCAGATTTCGGGCTTTCAGGCCGCCCCGTTCACTCGGGCGGCCGCGATTCCACGCGTTCATCTTCGGCCCGCTGGCGGCTTGCAGGAACGGTTCGAGCCGGGGCCCGTCCGAGGGCGCGGCGACCGCGCGCGTCGGCTGCGACGTTCCCTGCGCGGACCCGATTTGCAAATGCAGTTGCAACCCCAGGAGGAGGCGGGTGGAAGAGGGGGGAGGTGGGGGGATATACGGACAGACTGGAGGATGTAGGATGCGGCATGGGGGGCGCAGGAGGGAGCGCGAGGAGGTAGTGTGTCCTGGCGTGTCCTGATCCTACTTGCTCCGACCTCCTCACATCCTCTTACCTCCTCATGCCTCCTCCTACCTCCACCCACCCCCTGAACTTTCCTGGCGTCTTCCCACCTTGCCCTACCTCCTCTTACCTCCCCCGACAAAGGGGCGTCGGGTGGATGAAGGTGGGTGGGGCGGGGCAGCGCAGAGGGCGCGGTGCGTCGATTTTCTCTGCTTGTCCTCGCCAGGGGGCTGCGTTCGGGGAGACGGCGAGCGGGCAGGACGGCCCGCCGCGCAGCTCGCGCGTAGACCAGGCGCAGAAGAGGTCCGTCTTTCGCAGCGTCGATGCGGCCGCGACGGCGCTCCAGCAGTCGCCCGTTCTCAAGGCCGAGTGGATTGCTACCCGCGCGCTTCCTGAGGTGGCATCGGCGCCAGCCCAGACAGTGCAGTCGGAGTTGAACTCGAAGACGATGGTCTACGTCGATTGCTCGCGCCTGAACGCTGCCGAGGTGTCCTTCCTGAGCAGGCGTCGGGCTGGCCAGTTCAATGTGGCCCCTTTCAAGGGCTGGGCCATCGAGGGCGCCCCCGAGGACTGCTGCGCGGTGATCGACGACATGCCGAAGGAGCTCACTGTGGGGCACAGGCGCGTCAATGTTTCCTTGGGATCTTCGACGGGGCTCAGAGTTGTTAGCGCGGGGGCGGCGCGGACGCAGATGCCGCCCCAAGGGTGCTTGTCGTTCCAGCTGTGGGGCGCCGAGCGCTGCAGGGGCATCGGCCAGGACAGCCCCCGTCGCCGGCGGACCGCGGGCGAGCATGGTCGAAGGCAAGCAGGACAGCACGTGGAAGAGGAGGTCGTTGGGGGCGCGCGACGAGCACGAGATGACCAGGACGGTCAGGGGCAAGCCTAACGGCGAGACGGAGGACAACAGCAGCGACGGGGCAGACGGGGCTAGCGCGGCCGGCCGCAGCACGGTGGGCGGCCCCAAGAGGAAAGATAAGGCTGCCTCCGCGTCCGACGCCTCGGGCGCGCATCAAACATCGGCGTCGGTGGCCGAGCAGCTCGCGGCCATCGACGCCGCGGTCGAGGCCGCGACGTTCAACCCCAGTGTAGCGGGGCCGGGGCCGCAGGGCCAGCGTCTCCTGAAGATGCCCCCAGACTGCAAGACGGTAGTCTCGGCCACCAGCGGTCCCAAGCGCACTCCCAGCGGCATTGGTTTTGACAGCGGCGCCTCGGCTGCGGGCGGCGGCGCGGCGCATTCCGCTTGCCCGGCGGGCCCGAAGGACAAGTGCTACAACTGGATCCAGCAGAGCGACCTGACGAGAACTCTCGATTGCAAGCCGATGGGGAGGGAATTGGGCGAGGGCAGCGAGCTGATCGGAAGGCTTGCTGGACAGCGCGGGTTTCAAGCCCTCAGCTCGCGCATGAAGTTGGCAGAGCTCGCCCGCGCATGCCCCATCGCCCGCGGCAGATTTGCTGGGGGGGGCAACGGAGAGTGCGACCACGCGAAGCTCGAGGCAGCCAGTGCGAAGTACCCTTGGAGCCAGACCCAGCACATGGCGAGGCGTAAGTTGCGCAAGGACTTGAAGGTGATCGATGTGGGCATCAACGGCGTGGGCGAGTCGAATCTGGACGAGCTCGTGAGCAGCAGCGTTTGCTTCAACATGACTGGCGATGCCTTCTCCATGGACTTCGATCCATTGGGCCCCTTTCTCAAACACGGGTCGAGTATCAGCGCCGAGAAGTGCGGCTTCTTTTTCGAGTTCTTGCTTCAAGAGGTGTTTTGTCCTTGGTGCATGAATGATTCGGAGTGCGCAGACGCCGTTCGCGCGATGGCGAAGGTGGTGCTCAAGCACGTGGGCGCCGAGCTGCGCGGTCTCAACTTCCCGGCGGAGTTCGAGGCGGAGTTTTTGGATATCAGCGATTGCATGAAGTTCGTGGGTGCGCTGGCCATCGCGACCGGCGATTGCTCGGAGTTTCCCATCGAAGGTTGCCCTCGTCCAGAAGGTCGAGGCGGCGGCGGCTCTGTCGCCCCAGGGAGTCAGTTCGCTGGTGTGGAACTGCTTGAAGGGCGCCCCGCGCCGCATGACGAGCATCGACGGGGGCGCCAGGTCAGTGGCAGCCTGGGAGCAATTCGGCCAGCAAGTCAAGGAGAAGTTCAGGTGGCTGGAGACGCTTGCGGATGAAGACCTCCGCGCAGTCGCCCTGGCGCCACAAGAAGAGATCACCCTCGCGGCAGGGCGACTCGAGGCAGCAATCGCTGCGTTGGTCGGCTGGCATTCGGGATTTTTTTCGGCCTCATGCATTCAACAGCTTCGACGATCAAGCGAAGAAAGCCGTGGAGTACGTGTGCAAGGGCGTCATGATCCAGGGCCTGGACGCGACGAACGTCCCTCCTGAGCGGGCGAGGGCCCTTCGGGAGCTCATGAGGGTGGCCCGGCAGCTGCTCCCGATGGACGATGAGATCAACGCTTGGGCGACGCACCTGGACAAGAAGCTGGTGCTCGACGGAATGGTCGCCAAACAGAACGCACTCGCACAGCCCCCAGGAAATCACGACAGCCCCCAGGGAGAATAATGACGAGCCCGACGCCTCGATGCGGGCCAACTTCATGGAGGCGCTGACGACCTCCTCCGGCACGGCCGCCCCCGACGCAGAGACGGAGCTCGCCCTGAATGGCGTCTTCTGGACTTGGACCGCCATCGTTCGCGCTAGCAGGGCGGACGACGGCATGGGCTTCGAGCATTCCGAACAACCATTGGCGACGGTTACAGGCAACCTCAAAACGACGAACAACAAGGCCGCCAATAACATAATCCAGTACCTCGCGGTGTTTCGGCACTTACAGGGAGCGCGGCATGCCCTGAGGGAGCTCGGAAGTGGCCCGATGGACATCGCCAGGCACGGCGACGCGATCCGCCTCGCCCAGGATGGTCCGGGCCAAAGCTTCGCGATGAAGGAGCTCACCGCAGCCGTTCACGAGTAGCCTCAGCGAATGTGCCCACGTGGGATGTGGGGCCCGCGCGCTACGAGAAGATCGCAATCCACATCAAGGCGATGGCCGAGGTCGTCGGCGCCACGCAGCGGGAGACCTTGGACGACGTGCTCAACGTGCAAGGGCGCCACGAACGGGGAGTCGTGGACCGACGGCTTCAAAGGGATGAGCCTGATTGCGCTCGTCGCGCACGGGGTCGCCAAGCTCATGGCCGACGGGATCGACATCGACAGGGCGCAGTCGCTCGCGGGCGACGTCGAGAAGGACGAGGGGGTCAAACAGAGCAGGGGGTAGGCGCTCGTCAGCCCGAGCGCTTGCCCCCCCCCCCCTGAGGCCCTTGTCAGAGACCTCAGGGGGGGCGGCAGGAGCTCGGGGTGTCGGACCAGCGGTTGGATGGAGGCAGGGTCTTCGATGTCGCCGTTGTCGCCTCCGTCGTCGACCGTAGTTCTCGTCGTCGTCGTCGTCGTCGCAGTCGTCGTCGTCGCCGACGCAACCGCCGTCGTTGTCGTTGTCGTTGCTTTTGTTCCTCGCTCTCCCACCCTCGTCCTCCTCCTCAGCATCTTCCCCGTTATCCTTTGTGACTCCCATCCTCCCGCAGATCCTCGTTCTCCCCGCGATTCTCATCTTAATCCCCCTCCTCGCCCCCCTGCTCGTCCTCGCCCCCCCTCGCCGCCCCCCTCGTCGGCCACCTCCTCCTCGCCCGCGCCCCCCTTCGCAGGATCTCGGCAACTACTTGGCGAAGCGCGAAGCGGTTGGCCCGGCCCCGGGCGCGGCGAACTACACCGACGAGCTCATGAAGAACATCGATTTGGGCCGCTCGCTGGACGCGCAACTCCAGCCGGCGAGCCTCCTCGAAACTACGACGGACCAGGCGCTGCTGCGCAGCGCAGGCCTCAAGATCGACACCGCGCTGAAGACGAGCCTCGGGATGCTGAACGCGGCGGGCGCCCTCCACCCGCTCCTGCGCAAGAGGCTGGGCGCCGCCCCCTGCTGAGCGCCGAGGCCGCGCCCCTCCGATCGGCCCGGGGCGATCGAGGCGCTGCTGCGTAAGCGGCGCCGGAGAAACGCAGCGCGCCCCCTGGGAAGAAGGGGGAGGAAGAGGAGGGGGGGGGGGGGGGGCCAGCGGGGGCGGGGGGGAAGGACAGGCGCGAGGGAGGGGGGCAAGGGGCGCCAGGGGAATGTGGACACGAGTTGGAAGGGGGGCGCGGAGAGAGGGGGGCGACGACGGAGACGGGCTCGGAGAGGGGAGAGGGCTCGAGCGTCGCCGCGGCTGCACTGCGCTCAAAAAAAGTTGGACGTTGTGCCCCGTCGGCCTCAGGTCGGCTTCAGGGTAGAGCCGCCGCCCCATGGGCCGTCGGCGGTTCGGGCGGCGCGTCCGTCCAGGAGTTCCTGGGGGGGTGCTGCGTGCCCTTTGGTCCTTCCTAGCCCTCCTCGCTGGCGCTCCGCCTTCTTGCCCAGCCCGCCCTTCCGTCCCGTCAGACCCGCCCGCTCCTTCTGGCCGCCCCGCCCTTCCCTCTCTGCCCCCCCGCTTTTCCCTCGCGTATTCCCGTGGCTTTGCTTTGCCCCGCCTGCCCCCGCTGGCCAGTTAGGGTGCCCGATCCTTGCGAGGGGCATGCCGATGCTGGCGGGGGGGGGGGGGGCTTGTCACGTTGCCCTGCGGGGCCCGTGGTGGGGCCCTTCGCTGGGGCGCGATCCGCTCGAGGGGTGCGCCGAGAAAGCGGCGCCGACTGATGTGGCGCTGAAGCTCCTTATAGCGAGCTCGCGGCCCGTGTGCGTCGCAGCGTTGATCGGCCATCGCGGCGTCCTGGTTGGCGGGGCCCGGCGCTGTAACGAATCGTGATTCTCGGACCATGTTGAAGAAAACCCACGATGTAAACCACCATGCGTTGCAAGAAGTTCGACCACAATTTGTTGTACCATGTCGGGACTTCCCTGGGATATAGGATCTTAGGGAATCATAAGGATCATAATATGTGGCGTTAGAAACCCAACTGCTCCCGCGCCCGTCCGCACTTGACGCGTTTAGAACCTATGTGGTTTCATGTTTGTCCCGCTCTAGGGCGTTAGGAACCCAAGCGTTTTCACGTTTGTCAGATTCTGGAACGTTGTCAACAATATTTGCTGTCACACTCGTCCTGCTCCGGGGCGCACGTGGCCCATGTGTTTTCCCGCTTTTGCCGCGCTGATGAGTTACGAGCCCATGTGTTTCCACGCTTGCCCCGCCCAGGGGCGTCAGACATCCACTTGGTTTCGCGTTTGTGCCGCCCTGGGGCGTCAGGAACCATGTGTTTCCCCAGTGTTCCGTTTGTGGGGGCGGTCGGAGCCCATGTGTTTTCACGTTTGTCCCGTTGTGGGGCGTTCGGAACCCACGTGTTTCCATTCGTTTCCGCATTCCCAAAACCACCTGGGCATCTTTGGGCGCACATAGTCCCCTCAAGGTTGCCAAACAAACGGGTAGCTCGAACCCCCCTCTCCATCCTCGAGCTGGCACACAAACAAGCAATAGTTGCACATGTTCAACAGCATTTTAGGGCATCCGTGCTTCGTTATTGATCGCTGATTCTGCGCAGCCCGCTTGGTTTTCCTAACGTAGGAAAGGGGGGGGCGGACCCCGTCATTTTTTTATGGAGGATCCGAGATGGGGGGCGCACTTTCCCCGAACGGGCACGCGCGAAACGCATTAAAACATAAAAACATGTATTTGCAAAAAAAATCAAGCCGAAGTCCGCCGGCCCTCTTCGAACATGGTGCTGGGGGACGGCTCGCATAACTAAAGGGGATGAAAGGGGGAACCTTGGGCCACTCCAGGGCAAAATTGCACCAGATGGACCCCGGGAGGGGTCTGGGCACCGATTTTGAACGGATTTGGCTTCATCCCACCTACTAGTGCAGATCCCCCTGCCGCTTCCAAGGTGTCGTGTCGACGCGGCGGCGACCCCAGCGCGAGCGCTTAAGGTTGAACGCCGCCCGTGGCACGGAATTGGCCAACGTCGAGCGGTCATGCGCGAACGGAGAGCCGCGATCGTTCCAGGGTGAACGATGCACGCGGCGTCAGAAACCACAGCGCAAGTCGCCATGGCACGAGCCCGCCATACCATGCTTCCAGCGATTGGGGGCGGGGGCCACAGCAGGCTTCTCTAGAGGAGCCCCGCCAACGAATGCCGAAGGAATGCAAGCGCTGGGAGCCTTTCGTCAGGCAGCCTGGGGACGCGAATGGGTCGCCCCAGCGACCTTTTGGAGCGCTCTGAAACGGACGCGGCGCCCAGCACCCTCTGAATCTGCCGGCATTGATTGACCCCTGAGTCTCCGCGTCATTCGCACAGCATGAAGAAAATGGGGTCTTACAGGAAAGGGATCGTGGAGGTGTTTTGGCGCTTTTGGCCAGAGGCCGTTAGGTAAACTATTCCAGGCGAGAAGCTTCCCCCGGGGAAGGCCTCGGGGTCAAGGACCCGTCCGGAGAAGACGTTGTCTCCTTGGTGTCGACTCGTAGGCCGGTTCGTTTGTATATTGCACTTGCCCCTGCGCCAGATGATTACAGTGGGGGCCCATGCCAAGAAACACCCTTCTTGCCTCCAGGGTGCCCTGGGTTTCTTGGATTTCGATGGTTTTGCTATGGGAAGCGTGACATTCCCAAACCAAAATCAATGAACGTCCTGGGGTCTCAGGGTTGGGTTTCTTGTGGAAGGTTTCTTTTGGACTGGCCTCCACGGTATTCAGGTGGCTCCATACCCGTGCCAGACGAAAGGGGTCAATATGGAAACGGAGTGCGAGATCTGATGCATACAGTTGGGCGGCCCCGTGTTCCTCGATGCACTGGCGCCTCCAGCGTCAGGGCCAGGAGGCGCCAGAGAGATCAGCTACGTGAGTTCATCTGCTACCCCCCCCTCCCCTTACTGATTTTTTCGCCCGACGCGATTCAGTACCCAGCTATGCCGCAGGACTCGTGGCTGTTCGGTTCCAGTCCTCGCGATCGTTTGGCTCCAGTCCTCGCGTCGTGATCCCCAGGCCCACTACGCAGTATGGTTATTTCGCAATGTGGACCCCTGGGGTTGTCGACCCGCCCCCTCTAGACGCGGCAAGGGCCCCCCGGAGTCCGAAGTTCGACGGGGCACAGGTCCGCCACAGGACTGGCTGCGGTCTGGCCCAGGTCCGCGCCACCCTTCGCCTCTACAAGGGGGAGGAGGAGGAGCAGGAGGAGGAGGAGGAGCAGGAGGAGGTGGAGAAGGAGGACCAGGGAAGACACCTCATGCACCACCAGCATGCCTGGCCAGAGCCACCCTGTTGCCGAGGACGTCTGTACACCGTGCCTGGGTTAGGTCGGGCGTGTCCCCCTACAGGACGAATTTTCAAAAGTAGCCAACAAAAATGTTATGGGGACGATGTTTGATTGTTTCTGTAAAATCAATCATGTATTGGTCATTCGTTTTTCAGAGTGAGGGGGCTGAACCGAACGGTCATTCACTGTCCCTGGGTGCGTGGCTGAAATGGAATTCCGCGAGGCGGATTCTCGTTGTCGTTGTCGTTGTTGTTGTTGTTGTTGTTGTTGTTGTTGCTGTTGCTGTTGCTGTTGCTGTTGTGTTTGTTGCTTGTTGTTTGTTGTTTGTTGTTTGTTGCTTGTTGTTTGTTGTTTGTTGTTTGTTATTTGTTTGTTGTTTGTTGTTTGTTGTCTGTTGTGTGTTGTTGTCGTCGTCCCACCCGCGACCCGCCCCGCGACCCACCCGCGACCCACCCCGCGACCCACCCGCGACCCACCCCCCACCCCGCGACCCACCCGCGACCCACCCCGCGACCCACCCGCGACCCACCCGCGACCCACCCGCGACCCACCCCGCGACCCGCCCGCGACCCATCCCGAGACCCCCCTGGCGACCCGCCCGCGACCCACCGGCGACCCACCCGCGACCCACCCGCGACCCACCCCGCGACCCACCCGCGACCCACCCGCGACCCACCCGCTACCCACCGCGACCCACCCGCGACACACCCGCGACACACCCGCGACCCACCTCGCGACCCACCCAAATTTTTTCGGCGCTTGCGGCGGGCTTCCTTTGCATTCGTTCCAGGTGGAGAACCTGCGACCCACCTGGGATCCAAACAGCGTTCAGCGTACAAATCCAAATTTTCGGCGCCTGCGGCGGGCTGTTTTTGAATTCCTTCCAGGTGGAGGTGGAGAGCCCGCGACCCACCCGCGACCCACAAACTGCGTTCACTGAACAAGCCAAAACTTCGGCGCCTGCGGCGGGCTGTTTTTGAATTCCTTCCAGGTGGAGGTGGAGAGCCCGCGACCCACCCGCGACCCACAAATTGCGATCACTGAACAAGCCAAAACTTCGGCGCCTGCGGCGGGTTTCTTCTGCATTCGTTCCAGGTGGAGAACCTGCGACCCAAACCGCGTTCAGTGTACAAATCCAAATTTTCGGCGCGTGCGGCGGGCTGTTTTTGAATTCTTTCCAGGTGGAGGTGGAGAGCCCGCGACCCACCCGCGACCCAAACTACGTTCACTGAACAAGCCAAGAACGGAGGAGGCGGACGACGACGACGACGACGACGATGAGGACGAGGACGCGGACGAGGAAGAGGAGGAGGAGGAGGAGGAGGAGGAGGAGCAGGAGGAGGAGGAGGAGGGCGCCATCGACAGGGAAGGTCAGGGCCGCGAGGTCCGCCGGCTCGACGCCCGCGTCGCCCGCGCCCGCCCCCTCACTCTTATCCGCAATTGTGGGGTGCTACGTATGTTTCGCCCAAATTCCGCCTGCAGGAGGGCATGCCCGAGTTAATGCCAGGGTTTAGGATGGCCCGTGCCAGTCATGTTGGTGACGTATGTTGTTGGATGGATCTCTCCCCAAACATGATCGCGACGTTAGAAAATCAGAACGGGGTTTGGTGTAATTTTCGGCCTCGGGGGGCTCTCGCCGGGCCTCGGGACAGGATGAAAAACCTGTCCTGGGGAAAGGGTCGGGACTTCCAGGGATCCCGTATTGAAAAAATCAGGACGTCGCACGTCTGTGTCAAGCGGTGTGCGTTCAGAGCAGCAGCACAACAGAGCCATAGGAGAGCGCGGCACGGACAAGTGCAGCTCCGCACATGTCTCAAGTACGAAGTGTCAGGCTGCAGGACAGCGATGCACGGACAGCGTGGCTCAGCATCAGCACGTTGGCCGGGAAGCCGCTGAGATAAGGATCGTTCTGGACTCGGGCGGGGGCTCTGGTTTAGGGGGCGGCTCCTCACGTCTCTAGGTCGGGGATCCTCCCCCATTCGCGGCCGAGGCCCGGCGTGGCCAGAAAAATGCCGTCGTGCCTGAGCGTTCCTTACAGTGGGGGCCCATGCCAAGAAACACCCTGCTTGCCTCCAGGGGGCCCTGGGTTTCTTGGGTTTCGATGGTTTTGCCATGGAAACATTAATTATCCTGGCGAAGTACCCAACCACATACAATTGTGGGTACCGCAGTTGTGAGCCTCGCCTTCGGTGGAGCTCCCTGTAGGGGCCACGAAACGCGCGAGTGGTGTGCCGAAATTGGTGCTATGGCGCTATGTGAACCCTGCCAGTGGGGCCTTCGATGGAGCTCCCTGTGGGGCCACGAAACATGTGAGGGTTGTGCTGACATGGGGCGGGGCCGCCATGCGAACTTTGCTGCCACTCGGGCCTTTTTTGGAGCTCCCCATGGGGCCACGAACCGTGTGAGGGGTGTGTCGAAATGGGCGCGGTGGCGCCATGCAAACTTTGCCACTGGGACCTTCGGTGGAGCTTCTTATGGGGCCACGAAACGTGTGAGAGGCGCGCCGAAATGGGGCTGCGCCGAAATGGGGCGGGGGCGCCATGCGAACTTTGCCACTGGGGCCTTCGGTGGGGCTCCTTATGGGGCCACGAAACGCGTGAGGGGTGCGCCGAAATAGGCCGGGGCCGCCATGCGAACTTTGCCTCTTGGACCTTCGGTGGAGCTCTCCATGGGGCCACGAAACGTGTGAGAGGTGCGCCGAAATGGGTCGGGGCCACCATGCGAACTTTGCCACTGGAGCCTTCGGTGGGGCTCCCTATGGGGCCATGAAACGTGTGAGGATTGCGCCGAAATGGAGCGGGGCCGCCATGCGAACGTTGCCACTGGGGCCTTCGGTGGGGCTCCCTATGGGGCCACGAAGCGTGTGAGAGGCGCGCCGAAATGGGGCTGCGCCGAAATGGGGCGGGGCCGCAACTGGAGCCTTCGGTGGGGCTCCCCTTGGGGCCACGATTTTTTTTTTCCCCTCCCCCCAAGCGCAACATTCAGGCAAAGGAAAGTGTGAGGGGCCACGAAACGTGTGAGGGGTGCGCCGAAATGGGGCGGGGCCGCCATGCGAACTTTGACACTGGTGCCCTCGGTGGAGCTCCCCATGGGGCCACGAAGCGAGTGAGGGTGCGCCGAAATGGGGCGGGGCCGCCATGCGAACGTTGCCACTGGGGCCTTCGGTGGGGCTCCCCTTGGGGCCACGAAACGTGTGAGGGGTGCGCCGAAATGGAGCGGGGCCGCCAAGCGAACTTTGCCACTGGGGCCTTCGGTGAGGCTCCCTGTGGGGACACGAAACGTGAGGGGTGCGCCGAAATGGGGCGGTGCCGCCATGTGAACTTTGTCACTGGGGCCTTCGGTAGAGCTCCCAATGGGGCCATGAAACGTGTGGGGGGTGCGCCGAAATGGGTGCGGTGCGGGGGAGGAGGGGGGAGGAGGAGGAGGAGGAGGAGGAGGAGGAGGAGGAGGAGGAGGAGAAGGAGGAGGCAGAGGCAGAGGCAGAGGAGAGGAGGAGGAGGAGGAGGAGGAGGAGGAGGAGGAGGAGGAGGAGGAGGAGGAGGAGTAGAGGTGGGACGCGGGGCGCTGTCTCTTCAAAACGAGGACCCAACACCACAGGATGGTTGGGAAAAATCGCTGGACGTCTTGGGGTCTCAGGGTTGGGTTTCTGGTGGAAGGTTTCTTGTGGTCGGGCCCCTCCTGTATGCCGAAGGTGAGAAGATGCGTAACCATAGGCCTTCGGAACTCCGAACGTGCACGCTCATGCCGTTCATTTCTTCCTCCAGCTGCTGTTCAGCGTCATGCGAGGACTGCAGGTGCCCTCCCTGCGCACGCGCCACATCTGACGTCCCCCCGTCGACGGCGGCGGTGGCGACGACTGCGACGATTGTCCGGCTCCGGTCCTCGCGATCCAGCGCCCCCCCGCCCGCGCTGCGCGGAGAGGCGTGCATGAGCAACGAGGCCGTGGCGGCGCAGACGGAGGCCCTGCGGCTGGACGTGGAGTCGTTGCAGCGCGACTTCCAGGAGCGCCGGGGGTCCACTTCGGGAGGGGTCACTGCCGCCGGCACCGCCGCCGCCGTCGTCGCCGCGAGGAAGCCCTGGGTGGACCTCCGCAGGGTGCAGAGGCAGCGCTTGGGGGGAGATAGGCTCAGGGCGTTCGGCGTTCGAAGTAGTCGGGCGTTGTCGCCGACGCTCTGCGGCGTTTCAGACTCGGAATGCTTTCCAGCGGCTGCGCCTTGCCGAGAACGTTCCAGGGGTGCCCAGATCGCCCCGAACGGCCGCCGCAGAGCCGAGTCGTGGCCCGAAAGCCAGGGGGCAACGTTACATAGGGGGCGATAAGCTCAGGGGGGGACGCATCGACCCCCGATCGCCCATTCATCGCCGATGTGGGCCCGACAGTAGCCCCGATCCGCCCAGGAACGTGCAGTTTCGCTGTCGGGGGTTGATTCGCCGATCTATTGGCGATGTAGCGCCGATCCCAGGTCAATGTTTCCCCTGGGCCAGGCCCCCCATATCGTTGCCCCTGTTCGGGTGCGGATGATTCGGGTCGACGGCGACGTCGCCGTCCTCGTTTCGGAGGTTTCTCCTGAGCGTGCTCGTCGCCGCGGTTGGGCGCAGCTTGAGAGCTGACATGAACGTTCGTTAGAACATAGGGCTCCCCAGCCTGGCGTAGCCCCGCCCTTTCCCTCTCCTTCTGCCTCCCTCCGCCTGTGCCTCTCCCTTTCCCGTACTATTTGCTCAAGCGCGGCCCTGGAGGACCGCGCAGCTTTTGGAGGTGGGCGGGCGGGGCCATAGCACGCTGCCCAGCCCGGGAGGCCGAGCAGTCTGGTAGTGGCTGGGCCAGGTTCCCCCCTCCAGTTCGGGCGGGGGCTCCGGAGGGGAGCTCCGCTGCCCGCGGCGGACGTGCGGACGCCCACGGTGGGAGGGCGGGCGAGAGAATGAGGCCCGTCCACGGGCGAGAGTGCACCTTGGCTTTGGCCATGGGTGACTTGGCGACTTGGCTCGACGTGTCCTTCGGCGTCAATTGGCATGCGACGGCCCACGCGTCCGCCATCGTGATGGGCCCTGAGGAGGGAGGCCACGAGCGGGCAGGACGTGGTGATGAAGATGAGGAGGTGCAGCATGACCAGCCCCACAGCCAGGGCGAGGCCAGCTGCCAGGATGTGGGCAGAGACGAGCTGCCAGCGGCTGGGGCGCCTGAGAGGCCACCCCGGCCAGCGGCGCACCCTGGTCCCGCTGAGCCCCTGGCCACGAACCCGCCGCCAGCCATGGCCAGCCCGGGCAGGCGTTCCGCCCACAGTGGTCAGCGCTCGATGGAGCGACACTACTACGGCTACTACTACTACTACGACGACGCCCTCGCCGAGAAGGTTCCACCTCGCGCGCCCAGCGGCTTCGAGGAGTCCAAGGCGGGCGCGGCGGAGGAGGAGGACACCGCGCAGCAGGATGAGGCAGCGCGGTCAGAGGCTGCGGCGTCTAGTGAGGCACCCGCGCCCAGGCGCAAGAACACGACGAAGGCGCGAAGGCAGGAGGAGGCCAAGGAGGCGCCGTCGTCCGGAGCAGGTCCCCCGCCTCCACCACCTGAGGGGCAGAGAGGAGCGGGCAACTTGACGGGCGAGGGCGGCGAGACATCCAGCGCCCCCAGCGTGACTTCGGACGTGGCGCAAGGTGGAGGGCTGTTCTCAATGGGGCGGGTCAACTCGTGGGTTGAGGCGGTGCTCACATGGCCGGGGGAGAGTGGGGAACGCTCTGGGCGCACTCTTCCACCAGCTCATCGCGTTCATCATGGGACTTGTCGACTCCCTGGGCCGCTACCTGCTCGGCTCTTACTGGGCCAAGTTGCAGCGGGCCGCCATGGGATTAGCAGCACTTGGAGTCGCGACGGTCCTCGGCTCGGTTGCGAGTTTCCTCATCTGGTTCCTGAATGCAGCATGGAACTATGCGTCGCTTCTGTTTGCGACGCTCCGAGGCTTCGCACAGGGCAGCAAGAGCGGGCGCGACGTGAAACTGGCGTTCGATGGTAACTCGGCGGCGGCTCTCAGCTGGCACGGCCTGTCGGAGGTGATGGCAGTGGATGAGGACTACGTCAAGAACGAGGTTCGGGCGAGAGGGGGTGGAGCCGAGAAGACGACGCCCAAAGACCTCATCATCCAGTCAGGGGGTGCGGTCGCCAGGCTCGAGCAGGGGCCGCTGAAGGGCGGCCGCGTCACGCGTCACGGCTACGTGTGCAAGTTCAGGGAAGTGATGGGCAGTTCCCATCGCCACCTGAAGGCCGACCTGGCGGAAACCCGCGACAGCCACCTCGTCCTGCGCCCTCCCTGCGGGCGACAAGCCCATGGCCCGCGCGTGCGCCTCGTGCGCGGCGGCCCACGTTTCCCCGATCAACGTGGCGGACTTGGCCAAGCTTTCCTCGGCAGGACGTGCTGGGGCTGGCAGCCGGCCCTGCTGCTGATGGGCGCGTCGTGGAGTGGGCAAGGCGGGCTGGGGGCTGTTCCGGCGCTGTGCCGGGAAGGGGGTTGAGGCGCCCCAAGCTGGGCCAGCCGCCCAGCAAGGCCGAGGAGATGGACCCCAATTCAGGGACCGCGTCGGAGCCCAGCGCGGGCGTCTGCCAGGCCGATCAGGCGGCGTACATCACCAGGGACGGCGCCCAGGTCCTGAGCGCCAAGTGCTGCGGGGACATGGCCAGGCAGGGCCCGGTCTTCATGCTGGTCTAGGACACGGCCGTATCCGACGCGCGCGGGGTGCAGGAGGAAGGAGGCGCCTGGGTCTGCCGGGCATGCGCCCACCACGCGGGCACCTGCGAGAGCCAGGCGGCGACGCGGAGGTGCGCGCGCTCGCAGTGCCATCGCGCCCATGTGGCTGAGAAGGGCGGCTTCTCTCTTTGCGCGGCCCACGCAGCTGATCGGGCGGCGGTTTGGCGCAGCCGCTCGGCCCCGCCCCGCCGGGGCGACGAGGCTCGGGATCGGCGGTCGAGCAGCGGGAGGCAGGGGGGGGGCGACGTGGACCGCGCGGCTCGCCGCCCTCCAGGGGCCTCGGGCCGCAAGGGCAGTCCCGCCAAGGTCGAGGTTGAGGCGGCCTGGCTACTGCGCGCGTGCGACCCCTTGGCGGATGCTGAGCGCGAGTGAGACGCGTGCTACAGCTTCCCGGCACGCTCTGGCCCGACCGAAGACTGCAGTGACGGCGACCCGCGGACGGACGTGGAGGCGGTCGGCTTGGGGCTGGTCTTCTCCATCCCGGACGGCTTCTCAGCCCCATGGCCGGAACTGTTCGACGAGTTCGTGGGGGCCCAGCCGCCCGCCATCTGCTGGCGCTCGGGCGCAGCGCTGCGGCTCTCGGACCATGGCGACGGCGCGAACTGTCGGGGTGATGTCCTGGTCCCGGCGTCAGCCATAGCGCTCAGCAAGGACCGCAGTCACCATCACCTCGCAAAGCTGGCGCGTTCCAGGAGCCGCAGCACCGCCCCGACGCGGCGCGAGGCGCAGTCGGACCTCGACGCGAGGCTGAGGAGGGCCCAGGCGCAGGATGAAGAGCAGAGGAAGCGCGCTGACGGACTCACGGACGGGGCAGCCAGAGGGCCCATCTCGGCCGAGAGCGGCATGGGCAGGCACGAGCTGTTCGCAGAGCTCATCGAGGCAGTCGACGCGATGCACGGAGGAAGCGTCCGCGAGGTGGGCGTCAGTCTTCTTAGAGGATGCCAGGATGTATGGAGCAAGGAACTCGATGGGGGCGACGAGGGCCAGTCCCCATGAGGGACTGAGGGCCCCCCCGCGCCACCACTGGCCCACGCGCCTAGGACGGCCATGAGGGGGCTGCCGGCGGGCAGAGGGCGGCGGCGCCGTCTTGGCCCGAGCCGGGCCCGGCGGCACCGCTGGGGCCATGGCGCCCACTGGCCCCTGGTAATAGGGGCGAGGCAGTCGGCGGGGCGCCTCCCGCGGAAGGTGGGGGTCCCTTAGAAGACTACATTTAGGTCGGGCATGTCCTCCTGCGGGCGAATCTTGGAAGAAACATTCAAGATAGGAATATATATATATATATATATATATATATATATATATATATATAGAGTGCCACAAGATACTCGAAGCATCGTCCCATACTATGTTTTTTATAGATATTTTTAACATTTACTCCTGCAGAGGGACACGCCCGACGTCAGACTACATAAGCCGGGCCTGGTAGCCCTTGGCATTCATCCACGCCTCAACGTGCCGCAGGCACGGTGGCCCGTCCACCCACCTCCCCACCATAGGGGGGGGTGCGAAGTCCCCGTGGACGGGACGGGGTGGGCAGTGAGGAGCACCAAAGGCCCTTCAAAAACACCAAAAGTGGGCACCATAAGCCTACCACCACCAACTGAGGTACACCATATGTCCTCCACCCGTCATTCCATTCATCATTCAGTGAATTTTTCATTTTGATATTGTGAAGGCCTCACGGCCGGTGCCGCCGATCCTGAAGGTTTTGTCCGTCGATGGCGCCGGGATGCGTGATCACAGGAAGCAGCTAAATGACAACGTGACAGGGTAGGCGGAGGAAGTGTGTGTGAGGAGGAGGAGGAGAAGGAGGAGGAGGAGAGGAAGGGGGAGACAAACGAAAAGGACATGGAGAAGGTGGCAAAGACGGTCAGGAGGAGGAGGAGCAGGGAGGTGGTATCCTGACCTGGGACCCCCACCCCCAGGACCCCCCCCGGAACCCCCTCCAGGACCCCCCCCCCGGGCTTCCCCCGGGATCCCCCCCCCGGCCGGGGAAGGGAACAAAGGAAAGGGGAAACTGTTTTGAATCCATTTTTTTATGCAGGAGGAAGAGATGAAGGAGGAGGAGGAGGAGGAGGAGGAGGAGGAGGAGGAGGAAAAGGAGACGAACGAGAAGGAGACGAAGAGGTGGGAAAGGAAAGGAGGCACGGACGAGAAGAACAGCCCGTTCCACACGCCGACAGGGTCGGCGGATTTCAACCTCTCTCCAGTCCGAGGGAGGTTTCCCTGCGTGTGCGGCCTCTGGAGGCGGCCGCTGTCGGCCCCGGGGCACCGCCAAAGACACACTCTCGGGAAGAAGAGCTGGTCCCCCGGCGGAGAGGCTCGAGGCCTCTTGGGGGCCGCCTGGAAAGATGGATGCCCATCGGTCGTTGAAAGTAGGTTTTTTTTTGATTCCCAGAGTCCAATCTGCTTTGAGCGCCTTCTGACTTCGATGAACGAGTGGCTTCACCTTTTCCATCCTCTTTGGGGGGCGGGCGGACACCCAATCCACTTTCAACGCCTCCCCACTGCATGTTTCTACCTACTTCTCCCGACCGATGGATAACGGCGTGGGTGCTCTGGGTTGTCTCGGTGCCGACAGAGGTGACGGTGGCCCAAGGCGGCCCCAGCTTCTCAAGAGAGGCACGGGTGGCCTCTGGGGCCCCCCTCGTGAGGTCCACGGAGGGTCCCTGGGCGATGGCCCCAGGGTAGCGCGGACAATTGGTGGGCCACGCTGGGTCAGGATCGTTCCTGGCAGCCTCACAATTCCGTCGCACTGCGTGGTGGCGCTGAGCTGCGGATTGGAGATGTCTCGCGCCGGGCGGCGCAAGACAGGGGGGCCCACACACTGCCAGGACGGCCCTGCCCTACTCTTCCTCCCGGTGGTGGTGTCGTCTCTCCTTGCCCCTAGGGGGGGTCCCGTGGGCGACTGGCACTGGCCTTGTGCAGCCTTCGAGCCCGACGGGGCTGTAGAAGGGGACACCGATGTGATCTCAGCTCCCAGGTCTGCGCAGGGGGGATGGTCGCAGCCTCTCCTTGGATATATGGGTGTTGACGATGCGTGGGCGTTTTTCAGCACGAGCTTCGCTTGGCCGAGCTCGGCGCCGAAAGGCGTAGCCTTCAGCACGTGGTGTCAGACTCGCACGTGCCGCATGCAGCAGGCCGTAGTCCCTGGGCGGGGGGGATGTGCGGCAGCTTCTGGACCCACCGCGCCGCCCGACGCGCCTCCGCCCTTCCTCAGTGAACCCGGATTCTTTCGCCTTCTTATCAACGCTCTGTTGCCTGTCAGGAGGCGCAGCTGGTGCTTGCCAACGGCTGCCGCGAGAGGGACGAGGCTCAGAAGGCGCAGGTGCGGATGCAGGAGAGAAGCCCGTCACCTGCAGCGGTCGTTGCCGCCTCTCGGACAGGGGACGCCGTGTGCAAAAGAGGGTGGATAGTCCTAGACCTCGAGGCGTTGTAGACAGGACGCGACGGGCGTCAGTTTCAAGATTTCTGCATTGGGGGACCGTTGTCATGCCCCAGTCTCACCAGGGGCTACCCGCGACGAGAGCCATCCCAGGGACGGGGTCGAGAGTTCAGTGGCCCCACGTCGCGAGAAAAACACAACGCTGGAGGTCTGGGCGCCAGTCGAAGTTGTTGACTTCATCCTCTTCCACATTCTGCTTAGCGATCTGCCAGCGAGGCCTTCGGATGTCTACAACTATTCACAAGATTTGTTCACCGAGCTCTCTTGTCCCGCCCCTCACCACCGCACACTCAGGAGTCTGTATCGCAGAGTTCGCGATCCTTTGGTTCGAACTTAAGGCCCCAGCGCCCCAGCGCTGTCGAGGCCCTCCCCCGCGGCCGAGATCCACACCTGCATGGCTGCGACTGGGCGAAGACGCAGCGCAGCAGCAGTCTCTGCACCGTGTGGAATTTCGGCCGAGGTCGAGCAGATTCGGGGTGTTGGAATCGGCATGTGTGCGGGTAGTAGGGAGGAGGAGGAGGAGGAGGAGGAGGAGGAGGAGGAGGAGGAGGAGGAGGAGGAGGAGGAGGAGGAGGAGGAGGAGGAGGAGGAGGAGGAGGAGGAGGAGAGTGCGCCCAACATTTGGATCCCAGGGGGGCCAGGTTCCCCCCGCGTGCTCCCCGCTTGCACCTCGAGCGCCCCCGACGCAGAGAGTCCAGTCCAACGCGCGTACCTTGGGGTCGCCAGTGACAGTAGGCAGTCGCGGTCTGATTCGCTACATGGCCGCGGGTTCATCTCCCATTCACCGCCACCTCTCTTTATCTCTCTCTCTCTCTCCCTCCCCCTCCCTCCCCCTCTCTCTCTCTCTCTCTTTCTCTCTCTCTCCCTCTCTCCCCTGCTCTTTCTCTCTCCCCCTCCCGATCATATCCCGCACCATTCTGTCGGTGCTCCGCCTCTCTTGGGGCGCGACGCGCCCACACCCCTGAAGGAGTGGAGGAGAAGGAGGACGAGGACGAGGAAGTGGATCTGGACGAGGAGAAGGATGCGGAGGAGAAGGAGGAGGAGAGTGAAGAGGAGGAGGTGGAGGAGGAGGAGGAGGCGGAGGAGGAGCAGGAGGAGGGGGAGGAGGAGGAGGAGGAGGAGGAGGAGGAGGAGGAGGAGGAGGAGAAAGAGGGGGGAATCTGCAAGAGAACGTGCGCTCGCAGCCCAACCCCCCCCATCAGGCCTTCGAAAGCTGGGATGCTCTCGCGTGCGTGCTCGTGCGGCGCCCGGATCCCAGCCTCCCCACAGCACCTGCGCCCGTGGGGGAAGATTGCCCTCGTCGCCTCCGCCCCAGAGAAGGTCAAAACCATTGCGCTTTTCTTCACATGTTTGGAGGATGTTGATGTTCTCGCCGATTTTGGGTTTCCTACTGCCAAGGACGGCACAAGGGGCTTCCAACATAGCTCCAAGACAGAACATGCAGCCTCCGAGAGGACCCGAGTCGGCCCAAGAGGACCGCATCCGGTCCCCGTCAAAGGGGGAAGGCGTCATGCGTCGCAGCCGCGGGTGCCTCGCTCAGCGACCGATTGCTGGAGGGCTCGCTCCGTGACCGGTGGCGCTTCGCCCCACGACAAGGCGCTGCACGCGCCTGCGGGAACCTCGCGCGCGCTGTGCCGCAATTGCGTCGAGCCGTAAGGGCTCTCCTCCTTCTCCTCCTCCTCCTTCTCATCCTCCTCCTCCGCGACGGGGGTGGCACATCGCTTGCGTGACTGAGCGCGCGCGCTCGCGAGCTGGAGTCTCGCGCGTGGGCGCCGCTTCGCAGCGGTGGGGGTTATTCGCTTCGCGATAGGTGGCGCCTCTCGAGGCGCTGAGGGGTGAAGTCGGCAGCGACATGCGCACTATGAAATCCTGCAGGATCCTTCAGGACATCGCTAGGGGGGGGCGAGGACGTTTTGACACCGACAGGATTGAGGTTTTTGGTAATTTTCGGCCTCGGGGGGGCCTCACCAGGCTTCGGGGCCGTCAATACGCGACTCAGGACGAAAAAAACGGCCCCAGGGAAAGGGTTGGGACTTCCAGGGAGCCCGTATTGGAAAATGATTGACGGCTCGTGTATCCCACCAGTCTTTCTCATTTCGTTTCGCCCTCATGCGATCAAACAGTTTCCCCACCAGCTGGCTGCCCTGTGCTCAGTCCCACTCTGTGCGTGGCGCTGCCCACCGTTATGTTTTTTTCCTTAGCTTGTGGCGCGGCCTGCCCCTGATTGCACGGCGTTCGAGTCGTTTCGCACGCCCGCGTACCCAAAAATATCCCCACCAACCCATCCAGAAACGATCAGCAAGGGAGTTGGTGAATCAGGGACGGCTGGAAGCATGCAATTGCGCGGCCGTCTTCAGAAAAGCAAGGGTCACACATAGCTTCCCGCATTGGAGCTTAAGATGGACATCGGTGGTAAACGTCTCTAGCGCAGGTGGCTGTATCCACCCTGGGCCATGAGAAGCAAGGATCACACATAACTTGCCGCAGCGTTTTTTTCAGATGGAGACTAGTGCAAGATACGCCGGGGCGTTCCCTGTGGTAAGCGTCTCCGGCGCAGGTATTTGTACCTATGCCCTTGTCGCACCGTTGAGAGTCGCATCCCCATATGCATCCTTGATCTCTGCCCCCGCACTGAGTTTTTTCTTAAGCTCGCGCGCGGCTGCTGGTGCTGGTGATGGTGGTGGTGGCGTTGGTGGTGATGCTGTTGGCGTTGCTGCTTGTGGTGCTCTGTTGCCCTCTTGGTGCCATCTTGGAGCAAGTGGTGCTGCTGGTGCTAGTGATGCCTGGGGCCATTTTGGGGGTAAGGGGTGGAGGAGCAAGAGGAGGAGGAGGAAGAGGAAGAGGAGGAAAACAGCAATGGGGAAGGAGGAGGAGGAGGAGCATGAGGAACGCGGCGCGAAGAGGATGAAGAGGAGCAACGAGGCGGCAAGAAAGAAGCAAGGACGGAACGGACGATGACAAGGAGGACGAAATGCCGGGCTTTGAGCATATGTCGTGGTGAGGGAGCCCGACCCCAACAGTAAGCGCTCCCGCCAGAAGTTGCTGCAACAGCGTCAGTTGCCATTGAGAACCCAGTTGACCTCAAGAGGCCACCGCTTCGAGCCAGGAGGCCGATTCGGTTCAAGATGCCACCACCGCTGCAATACTTGGGATCGCCAGACTGGGAATTAGGCTCGGAGGAAGCCGATAGCCATGCGGCTGAGGAACAGACCGGATATGACATTGAGGACCCGCTCGGCGAGGAGAGCGCCGAGGGCGCAGGGGGTGCGGCGATGGGTGCTGGAGGACCAGCAGACCCCGCCCCCCCTGGAGGCGCGGCGCAGGGTGCTGGCATTCAGCGGACCCCGCCACTCCTGGAGGTGCGGCGCAGGGTGCTGCGCAGGCAGCAGACCCCGCCCCTCCTGGTGTTGAGAATTGCCAGCTGAGTGGAGCCAGACACCGCCTCTTCGACACCCCGCCAGACGCCCAGGGCAGACTGTGACACACTCTCGGGGACCGACTGGAGAGACGCGATCCGCTGCAGTACATTCTCGATTCGAAGGCGTTCCAGCTGGACCCCGGGGCTGTTCTAGCAATGGGCAGGTCGTTCGAAGAGTGGACAGTCAGTTACTTCTGCGCAATGCTGGAGGCCCATCCACAGGATCAGGCCAAATACAAAGGGAGAGGGTCCCTGCGAGAGCTCCGCAAGAGACCTGAGGCCCAATGAGCCCACTTTGTCTCGTCGCGGGTCCCTGTTGCGCACTGGCGGGCCACTGTGGATTTTCTCTTGTCGGATCTTGTGGGTCTGCTCAACAATAGAGGGTCCAGCAGGGCTCGTAGGTTAAGTGAGCGCCTGAGGGACATGTCAGTCTGTGTCCCGGTGCCCCTTTTGCTGCCTCTTTCGCCACCTCTTAGGGCTAAGTGGTGTCGCAGTCTACGGGTTGTCTGGGAGTTCACAGATGACTCCATCAGGGCCCTCAGCAGGCAAGCCTTTTTCCCAACTCAGCCCGAGCCCAGAGATCTGTCTTGCATGCGGACCTTGGCAAGTTTCACCAGTGGGTCATGCAACAGGGCCGGCCAGGTGGTAAGGGCGTGTACAACATGCTAAAGGACATATCTGTGTTCGCGGGGGAGATGCGGGCGCGGGGGGATCCTGCTCGCGATGCGTGCGCGCGCATGGAGACCGGAGCCAAGGTCTGGAGCCTGAAGTAGAAGGGGGGCCGACCACCTTCGGCAGAGTCTTCGCCTTGTGGCGGAAGGCCCAGGCGCGTGCCAAGCAGCTTGATCACAGAGAGAGTTTCAGTAGAGCAGCTTTCGCGCCTCATCTCCGCTCTTCCAGACCGCGCGCCAGGGGTTGACCAGATGACCAAGAGGGGCCTCGTCTGGCTGCCTCGAGCGGGCCTGCATTGTCTGGCGGGTTTACTATCGGAGGTCGAGAGTCGTTGCTGCTGGCCGTGGCAAGTGCGGGCCATCCTAGTCACACCCCAAGTCAAGGACCTGGAAGCGGATCGAGCGATCGGTCTGCCTGCCTGGTTTGCGCGCTTTTGGGCCGCGTGAGGAACGCGGACCGTGCCGATTGGGCGCGAGAGACAGCAGGCTCGTGGGACACAGCGCTGGCAGGTCCATCAGCTCTGCAGGTCGCTTTCCTCCGTCTCTTTAGGGGTGAGGAAGCGGCGAGCTCGAGCTTCCCAGTTTTCCACAATGGCAGCCTCTTGTTGGATGTTAAGGGGTTTTCCGGTAGCCTCCGATGGGATCTCACTCTCGAGCGAGTTCTGGAGCTAGATTCTCCGCCGAGTTATCTTGCGCTGGAGTTGCAGATCCACATGGCCGTCATTTTCCCGAGGGGGCGCAGGAGGATATTCGCCGCCTGTGGACCCCGAGCTCGCCGTGATTCCAGGGAGTAGCGGGGCTGTGGGCCCAGGTGGGGCAGCTCTACACCATGCGCGCGCGCTGTTGGTCACGGGAGTCCCAGGGGAGCCTGGTTTGCACGCGTGGGTCGACGACGTTGCTCAGTGCGTGCATGGCACGAGCGCGCATGTTTTCCGACGGCTTTTGCAGGCAGGGCTCAAGCTCGCCAGGAGTCTGAAACAAGTGCATCTCTCCATGGCCAGTAAATCCAATACCACCTGCCCGAGCACGGCGGTTGCCAAGCAGTTGCGAGCGTTGTTCAAGAACCACGAGGTCTGGAGGGGCGTTCTCGCCAAGCTGCGAGATCGGCCTGATAGTATCAGGTGGATGGGGCGCAGCAGCCCCAGCAGCAGCGACGGCGGCCACCTTGCTCAATCTGGGTTGGGAACCTTGGGCGCCTTGGGCGCGGGGGAGTGACTTGGGGGAGAGGTTCGCGATAGATGGGCCCTGCTAAGACAGGGCAAAGTAGATTTAGCTGCGGTCGAAGAAGCCCGGGCAGCCAGCACGGAGCGCAAGCTCTGGGGGGCTGCCTCGGGAAATTCGCGGAACGGACAGGGGCTCGAGTTGGCGCCCGACTTGTATGATTTCTGCGTGGACCCCGAGCGTTTCAAGACAAAGGCAAGTGCGCTTGGGCTGGCGTGCTCCGCGCTGTGGCCACAGGTAGCAGTTGGACTAGGGGCCGCGCGCAGGAGCGCAATTTTTTCGTAGGACAGCACCTGCCTACGCGGCTGAGATCTTTTCGAGTCTGATGTGCACAGGGCTCGGTGCTGTCCTAAGAACGCAGAATTGCGTAAGGTCTCGGAATTTGCGGTCTGAAGAGCCCAGAGCAGATGCAAAGCAGAATCCGAGCTTTTGAATCCGAGGGCTGACGCCCCAGTCCTGGACCGCCGGCCCCCCGCCGCCAGAGGCCGCTGACTTCCGCGGGTTAGGAGGTGAGCCGGGAGAGGTGGCTGTTAACGGTTTTGCGTTTGGAGGGGGGATGCGAGTGGTGGCCAGGACACGCGGGGTCCAGCGCTTCGTAGAGTGGCGCGGCCTTGGGTTGCGGTGTCGGGAATCGACGATGCTGGACAGTATTCGATCCATAGTCTCTGGGCCCATGCCGAGGCCTTTGGCAGTGCCCAGGAGCGCGCCAGTCTGTGAATAGAGGCGAGGCGCTGAGCTTGGTAGAGTTCGTTCGTGCGATCTACCCAGTTGCCTCGGCGCATTTTGTCGTGGACCCGTCGCATGTAGTCAGCGACCTCCCTAAGCTGAGAGCGGGGATCCAGCCAGAGTCTCACCTGGACGTTTGGCATCAGTTGTGGGACCTCCTCAGGGCCCACCCCGAACGGGATTTGGTCCTCGTCGAGGTAGAGAGTCACCAGGATGCCAGACAGGTTGCGGCCGAAGGGTCGGAGCAGCTGCACATTTTAATCAATGAGGTGGCTGGCAGCATTGCCAGTTCGTGGGCTGATCACCTGCGAGTGCCAGAGAAGGATCGAGACAGCCGGCCTTTCGCGCAGGCCATTGCGTTCCAGGTTAGGGATCACCTGGGGCACTCGTTGTCGGCCCCCATAGATGCTGATGGGGGCAGGGCCCCACGCCAGAAGGATGTGCAGCGTCACTTTCGTGAGTCCAAGACCCAGTTGGATCTCGCAGCTCACGCGCCTGTTGATTGCCAGAGATCGAGAATCCAATGCGCAGTCTGTGGAGGCTCGGCCCCGCGCTCCTGGGCCAAGCAGTTTCTCAGCACCCCGTGCCACCCGGGGTCGCGATGATCTTGCAGGGTGATCAGGTGAATGGGCAGGCCCCCCATCCGTCCCACATGTTAGGCCACGGTTTGTTTCCCGCGCGGGTCAATCGCAGCGTTGGCTGCGAGGAATTTGATGCACCCGTGCAAGGGCCACTGGAGTGACTACGGCGAGCGCGCGCTCCAGAAGGTTGCCAAGGGGCAGCCCCCAGGCCGCAGCAATTGGGCCCGCCAGAACCAGGCCATTAAGAGTAGGCGGCGGAAGTAAGTGCACAGTTTGGCATCGCCGGGAACATTTCTCTTTCTTTCCTGGGGCCTTCTTAGGTTTTGTTTTGGGGGTATTGGGGCCCTCTTGGGGCTCTTTTGGGGGTCTGGGAGACTTCTTGGGGCCGTTTTGGAACGCTTCGCTCAAAGAGAGGGGGTCTTAATGCCCCCCCCCCCCCCCCCATCCCCCCCCCCTCCCGCGCGCCCGCTCCCCCCCCCCCCCCCCCCCCCCCCCCCCATCTCCCCCCCCCTCCCCCCTCCCGAGCCCCAACATGGGCGTATTGGGGCTTTCTTAGACCGCTCTTGGGGCGCTCTTGGGCTCTTGGGCGCTCTTTGGGCCGTCATGGGGCCCTCTCGGGCCTTCTTGGGGCTGTGTTAGGCCATTTTGTGGCCATCTCGACGCTTCGCGAGCCCGCCGGGGGCGAATCAGCCAAACGGCAAACAACGTAGACTTGACAGTAGGTTTTGAACCCATTTTGGCTTCTCTCGGAGGGCACTTGGAACCGTATTGGGGCCGTCTTGGGGCATCCTGCATGCGTGTCGGAGGCTATCTTGAGTCATATCGAAGTATATTAGTATATTGGGCCATCTTGGAGGCCATCTTGGGCTATCTGAAACCCTCTTGGAGTCTTGGGGCTATCTTGGGCCATCTTGGACGCTCTAACCCCTCTGCCCCCCCCTCCAGACCCAGGGAGGGGGGGGGGGGGGGTAAAACCTTTCGAGCAGTGAAAGGCAGGGGGGTGGAAACAGGAAGCGCTCTAGACCACCTGCGCCCAGAGGGCTGGTGGGATTCAGGACGTCGCGTGTCCATGTCTGGATTCAGGGCACCGTTGGGGGGGGGGCGAGGAAGTTGTGAGGTTTCCCTAGGAAATCCGGGTTACTCCCTAGAAATTCTTCAGCGCTCTAAATTGGAAATCCTGGGCGATGGGATTGTTAAGAAAGTCTGCAGAGTCCCCCGAGAGATCCGCAGGATCCCATTGGATTTCCATTATTTGAGGAATCATCAGGGTTCCTCGGGAAATCATTTCAACATTCCTCTGCGATTCCTGCGGATTCGCAAGGCCCTGAGAGTTCCTTGCGAAAGCCTTTTGATTCCCAAGGAATTCCGTGGCCCTTGGGATTCTTCAGGGCTCCTGGCGAAGTACATGTGACTCCTGGTGGGTCGTTGGGAAATTCCGAAGGGTTCCTTCGGAACTCGCTGGGAGCTCTGGCGAAGCCCTCAAGGTTGTCGACGAACTCGTCGCGACATCCGTAGGACCGCGGCGGAAGTCGCCAGGGAATCTTGCGATTTCCCCGGGAAGACCCCGGGGGCATGAATTTCGAATAGGTGGGGAACGGGGGGGCGCCCGCCAGGAAATGTGAGACCCGCCGGCCAGGTTCGCCAGGGATGCGCCGGAGCATTCTGTCTCGCCTCCGCATGCGGAGAGCCTCGCGCAGAGCCCCGCCAGGGCCGCTCGGAGGCTACAGTTAAGTCGGGCGTGTCCTTCTACAGGAAAAATATTGAAACATTGCCAAACAATAAACAACTAGTCCGTGAACGATGTTTCGTCATGCTTTGACTATTTTTGAGTATTGTTTAACTATTTATCCAGCTCTCCGTCAAAATTCGCCTGTCGGGGGGCCATGCCCGACCTAAGGCTACAGGAGTTAGTTTAGTCCGGTCAACATTCAAAATAAAGGGGGCGTAGCCCGCCTCCTGCGTCGCTTGGCGGCGGGCGAACTTAATCCTCGCCCGCCTCGTCGTTCGTCTGGCAATCCGCTGAAAGCTCCTACCAACGGTCGCTCGTGTCTGACGACAGTTGGATGCAACACTGACTGAGAGGCGGGGGAGGAGGAGGAGGAGGAGGAGGAGGAGGAAAAGGAGGAGGAGGAGGAGGAGGAATAATAATAATATAATAATAATAGTAATGATACGAAAAAGAATAGTAATACTAATAGTAGTAGTAGTAGTAGTAGTAGTAGTAGTAGTAGTAGTAGTAGTAGTAGTAGTAGTAGTAGTAGTAGTAGTAGTAGCAGTAGCAGTAGCAGTAGCAGTAGCAGTAGTAGCAGTAGCAGTAGCAGTAGTAGTAGTAGTAGTAGTAGTAGTAGTAGTAGTAGTAGTAGTAGTAGTAGTAGTAATACTATTAATAATGATAATACTAATAATACTGATACTAATAATAATAGTAATAATAATAATACTAATAATGCTGATGCTGATGTTGATACTAATAACAGTAATAATCATAAGAATAATAAATAATAATAAGAAGAAGAAGACGAAACCTAATACTAATAATACTATGAGGAGGAAGAGGAGGAGGATGGCGGAGGAGGGAACAGCGAGGATGGGAAGTGGAGGAAGGAGAGGAGGAGGAGGAGGAGGAGGAGGAGGAGGGAGGAGGAGGAGGCGGAGGCGGAGGCGGAGGCGGAGGCGGAGGAGGAGGAGGAGGAGGAGGAGGAGGAGGGAGGAGGAGGAGGAGGAGGAGGAGGAGGGGAGGAGGAGGGGGAGAGGGAGGAAGGAGAGGAGGAGGAGGAGGAGGAGGAGGAGGAGGACGAGGACGAGGAGGAGGAGGAGAGGGGAGGAGGAGAGGAGGAAAAAGAAGAAGAAGAGAAGAAGCAAAGAAGAGAGGAGGAGGAGGAGGAGGGGGAGGAGGAGAAAGAGGAGGAGGAGGAGGAGGGAGGAAAGAGGAGGAGGAGGAGGAGGAGGAGGAGGAGGAGGAGGAACGAGCGGGGAACGAACGGGGAAGAACAGGAAAGAGTAGCAGGCAGGAGAGGCAGGGAGGAAAGCGGAGGAGAAAGAAGGAAGGAAACAGGGAAGAAAGGAGGATGGCCATCGTTTTCTTATTCATTGTTTTGCCGATCGGCGCGGGCCCTCGCATTCCCCCCCCCTCCCCCCCTCCCCATGGAGTGCATCAGGGCTGCCTTGGGAGCCTGTTTCGAGCAGGTGGAGCCTGCTCATCTCCTCCTCCTCCTCCTCCAACCCATTGGGTTGGAGGAGGAGGAGGGGAGGAGGAGGGGGAGGAGGAGGAGGAGGAGGAGGAGGAGGAGGAGGAGGAGGAGGAGGAGGAGGAGGAGGAGGGAGGAGGAGGAGGGAGGAGGAGAGGAGGAGGAGGAGGAGAGAGGAGGAATGAGTAGGAAGGGACAGCGGGAACAGCGAGGAGGGGGGGGGGGGGAAGGAGGAAGCGGAGGAGTGGGGGGGGGAGGGAGGAGGCGCGGTTTTCGCGCGCAGTCCCTCCGCACCGCCCCTCCCACCCCCGACTCCCCGGCCCCCGCCGCTCCGCACCGCCCCCCCGCCCCCGACCCCCATGCAGATTCCACCCCACCCCCGCGTGGGCCACCCTTGTCTGCCCAGGCCCCAGCCCCTCTCCGCAGCCTTGTTGGCTCACTCTGCTGGCCGCCGCAGCGGCTGACAGCCGCCGAGGCGCGTCCAGGCTCGGCGCGGGGCCCGGGGAAGGGCCACGGGGCTCGCTCGTGGGATGTCGTCGGGCCAGGCCGAGGGCCCTGCGAGGACGTCGGTCTCGTTGACGTCCTCCATCACGCCTCCCTACTCCCTTCCTCCCTTTTCCTCCTCCTCTTCCTCCTCCTTCCGAACGTCATCAGCATCATCCATCATCCATCATCAGACGCAGCATCATCACCATCGTCGTTGCCTTCGTCTCCTTCATCACTTCAAATAATCATAGTCATCAGCAGCAGCACCACCACCATCGTCATCATCATTCACAGCAACAACACCATCATCAACAACATCAGCAATCGCAGCATCATCATCAGCAGCAGCTGCATCATCACCATCATCGTCATCACCAGCAGCGTTATCAGCATCAGCATCACCACCACCACCATCATCAGCATCACCATTCTCACCAGCATCATCATCATTCTCATTTGCATCATCATCACCATCATCATCATCATCTATATCAGCAGCATCATCATCATTATCATCATCAGTATCATCCTCCTCATGATCATCATCGTCATCATCATCATCGTCGTTATCGTCGTCGTCATCATCACCATCACCACCACCATCACCATGGCCATCACCATCGTCGTCCTCATCATCATCCTCATGATCATCGTCATCAGCAACAGCAGCATCATGTCATCTCGGCTCCTCCATCGATTCCCTCCCTCCTCCACTCTTCCACCCTCGCTTTCCTCATTCGTCCCTCCTCGTCCTTCACCTCTTTTTTCTCAACTATCTCTACTCCTCCGCCGTGCTCCCTCCTTATCGTTCCTCTTCGTCATCATAATCGTTATCAGTGTCGTCATCGTCCTTACCATCACCATCATCTTTTGATCGTTCGCCTCCCTCCTTCCCTGCTCTCCTTCCCGGTCCTCCTCCTGCTGCTAACCCGCCTCCTTCTCCTCCTCCCCAAGGTTGCCAGAGGAAAATGTGTTTTTTGTCGGCAGCGCCGGCGGTCGCAAGCGCGTCTGCAGAGCTGGCGGGCCGCGCCAGGAACTCGGCACTAGAGCGGAAGGAAAAGAAGGCGGCCGCGGAGGCGGAGCGTGGAAGGTCAGAGAAAACACACGGACGTAAACGTTGACGCTATACCACAGTCGAGTTTGATCAGCAGGCCAGCCCTGCCATATCAAGGGTAGCCTTGCGTCCTGTGTTTGGCGACCCCAGGCCTTCTAGATTCATGTGGCAATGTGGCCTTCGGAGGGGCCTTGTGTCCTCCCGCGTGCCCACTCCAAAGATACTCGACTGTACACTGAGATCCGGCGTTGCGAAAACAATACAGCTTTTCACGACCAGAGCCCTACACGCAATCTTTCTGCGTCATTTTTTTAGCTGGATCAATTTGTGAGGGTCCCGGGACCGGAAGCCGGGCGAAGGTATGAACCAATTGCACCGCAAAGATCTCAGGGTACCTTTCCTTCCTCCTCCCTAGAGCTGCCCGAGTGTGAGGGTTCTGGAGCCCGAAGCCAGGCGAAGACGCCCGATGAAAAGCAAATGCATCGCCAAGATCTCAGGGTACCCTTCCTTCCTTCTCCTCGGAGCTGCCCGAGTGTGAGGGTCCCGGGGCCTGGAACCGGGTGAAGACACCCGGTGTGAAACAATTGCACCACCAATCGGAAAGATGGGGTATGTTGCTCAACAGCAGTTCCTGTTCATTTTGAACAGGACTCGCTGTCCCGCGCCGCCGCGGACGTTTTTCATTGAAGACGAGGAGCCGCCCGCCCAAGAGCGGCCGCTGTCTGTTTCGGACAACTTTTGTTGTTAGGCATTGTACCCATTCTCTCCATGCCCTTTGTGGGCGTCGGGAGCCAAGATCTCAGGGTACCCTTAAGTCGGGCATGTCCAACTACAGGAGGAGTATTCAAAAATAGTCTGAAAATATGATGGGGACGATTTTTCGACTATTCTTGGACTATGTTTGAGCTTGTTTTCGGCTATTGTTGTTGGTTTTTCGTCCAAAGCCCGCCTGTAGGGGAACATGCCCAACCTACGGGCACCCTCCCTTCCCCAGAGCCGTCCCACGAGCGTGTAAAAACTCCTTGCGCTCGAGGACGGCGGGCCTCTCCGCCGGCGCCGGCGCCCCCCCCTGCCCCAGCGTCGCCGACGCCTCGGGTGTTGGGACCGACTACAGAATGGAGTTGCCCCAAGATCGGTGTTCCCGGCAGGGCACATCTCGACTCTTCCGACTCGATTCGATTCGACTTTGATGGCTTCCGATTCCGACTCGATTCGACTCGGGATTCAGAGTTGGGCTCCGCCTTCTCATTGGAGGCATAGTAATCTGCCGATTTCCGCCGATTCTATTTTTCCCAACTCGGCTGCCGGTTTCCGCCGACTCGATTCATGTCGATCGCCGATCCGACGCGTTTCTTGCACCTCAAGCAGTGTCGAAGCGTCCCCGCTTGCCTACGTTAGCCTGTAGGCCCACCAGAGAATGTTCTAAGAACCTTTGGTGGTCTGCACGACATCTTATTTAAACATTTCTGGCTGAGGCTGTCTTATTGCGAAGGCCTTACGGCCGGTGCCGCCGACCCTGAGAACGACGAAGATGAAAACGAGGGGGGGGCAGGGGGAGGAGGATGAGTGGGAGGTGGAGGAAGGGTGGAGGAGGTGGATGAGGGAGGAGGGGGGGGAGGAGGATGTGGAGGAGAAGCAAGAGGAGGAGAAGGAGGCAGAGGAGGGCGGGAGGAGGGGAGCAGAGGGGGAGGAGGAGGAGGAGGAGGAGGAGGAGGAGGAGGAGGAGGAGGAAAAGAGGAGGCCAGAGGCTTTCTTGGGACAGCCAGGGGCTTTCTTGAGGCTGTCTTGAGCCGTCCAGGGCTCCTCTTGAGACGTCTCGAGGCACTCCTTGGAGGCCTCCTGGGCAATTTGGGGCTCTCCTGGGCTGTCTTGGGGCAGTTTGGGGGCCCCTTGTCTGAATACGGGAGCTCGTCCTCACGATCGTTCACGCTGGTGACGATGAGGAAGAGCGAGAGAAAGTATGTGTCGATGTCAATTATCTTGATAATTGTCGGAGGACACCTTTTGTCCACGATATGAACGGCCGTGCTGTAGTCTGCGCGGTCTGCCTGGCACGGCCAGGCTCTGTCAGAAAGAGTCCCGCCCTCCCTCGCCTTGAGCCGAGGGTGGCGGTGGCACGGACAGGGCAGACGGGCAGGAGACAGCTGCTGCTCAAGCTTGCTCCTGCGTATCTTTCAGACAGGGGGAAAAAGGTTCTGCCCTGTACCGTGCGCGCAGGCAATCTCTGCGCTCCGTGTGTGCTGCTGGACGAACTTCTGATGGTCCTCGATCTCCTGCTGCAACTTCTGGATCATGATCAGGGATTCGGAGGCCGAGAACCCAGTAGAAGTCGTCGAGCTGGAAGGGTTCCCTTCCATGCTGGCTGGTGGTTGTGCCTGGCGTGCCAACCTACGCTCCTCGAGTACCTGACGAGCTGAGGCCGGGTCGGTCGGGTCCGTCTCGTCGAAGATGCCCTTGCCAAGAGCTGCCCGCTTGCGAGCGCTCATGAACTGCTCGTCGTAGATAAGGCGCCACTGCTGCTTCTCGAGGAAGGCCCGGACCACTCCGAATGCCTGCCAGCTTGCCTTGGTTAGACCGTCAGCGATCTGTGCGTGTGAGTGAACCCAGCGCACGACCGTTTGACCCTCGTCCAAGGCATTGCGGAGAGCCAAAGCCTCGATGGCTGTCCTCCGCTCTTCCAGTCCCAGTCCCGCCGACTGAGATCGCACCACGCCATCGTAGAAGGCCTTGCAGTCCGTCACCAGGATGGCTGGTAATCGTCGTAGTGCTGCGGCGGTATCTTGCAGTGGAGACATATTGTGTAGAAGTTCGGCGAGTACCAGTCGCACCATGCTCTGTTCGCCTTCGGCGTCGCCGGCTTCCTGCACCTCCGCCGCCAGGCTTGACCGAGCCACGCGGCGCAGCTTCTTGGAGCCCCAGTCGAGGACCGTGAACTCGGAGAGCTTCCCGCCCATGGCCGCCTTGGAGGATATAGCGGTGATATGACCACCCTGAGAGTGTCCATCCGGGCGGCTGGCCCAGGCTGCGTCGCACCAGGTGAAGATGGCGAGGTCGTCCAGGGCGTGCCGGTAGATCCTGATCCCCATGTGGCGGCTCTGCTTGACGAGCTTGACGATGTTGTTAGCAGCCGTGAAGAGGTTGTGAGTACCTGCTGGTATCTTCATCTGGAGGTCGGCTACCCACGATAAGAGAAATGGCATGGTATTCACGCCAAGCCAGTAGATCTCGCCGCAGAACGCCCTGAGCACCGTCTTGTCAGAGTCCTTGAGGCTGTCGGTGGTCCGATGCTTACTGCCGCTGGCCGCCTTGACCTCTTTGATCTTGTCGATGTACGACTTCTGGTGTAGGAAGAAGCCCTGCTCGCTCTCCTCGATGGTGACGCCGCACTGTTCGAGAGAGGTGAGCCCGTCATTCATGTCCTCCCAGGTGCCCCACTTGTAGAGCCCTCGGATCTGCTTGACCATGTCCTGCCACTCAGGGTGGGAGGTATCCCCTGCCATGATGAAGTCGTCGACGTGGGCCATGATCATACCGATGAGCATACCCGTCCTGGAACATCGTGCTTTCCAGAGACAGGGCTCCAACTCGCAGACTTGGAGTCGAAGTTTCGCAAAGTCGTGCTTGACCGTCTCCCACCAGTGCCGGGGCGCCTCGCCGATCCCATATCCAGGCTTCACGACCTGGAGGATTTCCCCTTCCTGCACGTGGAAGGCCTTTCTGAGGACGGCATCTGGCTCGATGAAGAGGTCCTTGTCGAGGTCGTGGGCCTGCAGAAAGGCGGAGGTGACGTCGCCCTTGATGAGCTTCCAGCGGTTCGCGGCGGCCACTGTCAGCATCACGTGACGGGCGCGCCGAGACGCGGTGGGGCTGGCGGTCGGCTCTTGTCCTAGGTCCTTCGTCTGGTAGCCGAGGAGGACGAGCCGGGCCTTCGCCTTCCCATCGGACTTGCGGGTGAAGAGCCACCTTGCCCGGATGACGTCCGCCGCGTCCTTGACCCGAGATGTCGGGACAGCGCGGAGTCCCTGATGCTGGACCCAGTTGTTCGTCTCCTTGGCGATGGCTGCCTCGAACTCCTCACGCTCGGTGGCGTTCATCTTGGACCAGGTCAGCTCCACCTTGTCCTTCCGGCGCTGGTTGACGAAGCTGTCCAGGATGTGGTTCATCAAACCTCGGCGTCCGTCTGGAGTGGGGTTCTCGTCCTGCAAGTACTCAAAGTAGACGGTCTGCTGTTCGTCGGTGCCGAGGGTGATGTCCAGCTTGTCCTTGAAGAGGTCGACCAGGTGGTTGCTGTCGAACAGCGCGTCGGCCATCTCCTCGTCTGCACCTTTTCTGTCGCTTCTCCGGCGGTACGTACAGATCGAGCTCTGGTCCGCGGTGTGACATGCGCCACCGAGGTCTCGACTCGCCTCGGGATGCGGCACCGGCCGCCGATGAGGTCGAGGTCGCGGGAGGCGGACGCGATGCTGTTTGAGAGTCCGTCCTGACTGCCGCTGAGGTAGGTGCTTTCCCTGGCGTTCGTGATGGGGCTGCTGACCGGTCAGCTGCACGAGCTGGTGGTGACCGAGACCGTCGGACATCGGGTTCACTCGGTTCCACTTCAGGTTGCGTCGCTGAGCTTGGTGTTGGTGGCCTGGAGGAGTCAGGAGCCCCGGGTGTGTCGTTGTCGGCGCCCGAGGGGAGTCCCGCCTCGCTGTTGTTCTCGAGAGTCTGGCCCTCGGTCGCGGGGATCGCCGTCGTCGGCTGCGGTGGATGCTCGTATTCTCGGAGGTCTGGAGGATTTTGTCCGAGAAGGTCTTCATAGGTACCGCCCTTGGCTGTCTCCAAGATCTCCGTCATGGTCTTGCCAAGGTTGCTCTGCCGCTGCAATTCGACGATCATCTTCTCTGCCTCCGAGGCGACGCGCAGCTGCTCCGGGGCGCACCTGATGAGCACGCTCCCGTGGGAGATCCAGATGACCGAGGTCGGACGGGTGCGCCCGTCCACGCGTCGTTTCTCCTGAGCAAGGACACGAGCAGGGCCGTACCATCCGCCCTTCTTCCCAGGGCGAGGGTCAAGGCCTTTCCCTTTGCGCCAGAAGTAGACGAGGTCCCCCGGATTCCAGGTCTGATAGACCCGGTTGCGGGCATGTTCGGCGTGTCGCCGACGCTCAGCATACTCTACTTCCAGGAAGCTTTTGCGCGCGAGGAGGCGCCTCTGCTCCTGAGTCTCCCCGGTGTCCCCGTCAATGATGGCGAACGGGTTGCTCGAGGCCGGCATCCCAGAGACGCCCATCACGTGCTCGAACGGGGAGTGGTTGCCGACCTTGTCCATGCTGTTGATCGCGCTCACGGCCCAGGACACCAACTCCTCGACCGGGCAGTCGGGGTCCAGCGTTGCCAGCTTCGTCATCAATCGCTTGAACAGCTGGATGCGCCTCTCGACCTTGCCCATCAGCCAGTGGGCCTCGCCCGGGGCAATCCACAGCTCGATGCCGCGGTCCGAACACCACCTGGCCACTGCTTGTGACCGATGACAACCTTCGGGGTCTAAACGGAGAAGGCTGGGGCGGCGGTAATGCCCGCACCAGTCATTCCATGTTGAAATCACCTCCTGAGTCGATATGTTACCATTGCGCTCTCCCTTCTGTCCATGATAGGTGACACTGGTGAGCCCGGATCCCTCATCGATATTCAACGTCATCAGGAAAGAGTCTTGCTTCGGCGAGAGCCACTCGAGCCCGTCGGAGGCCAACACCTCTAGGGCGCCTGGCAACTCGATGCCCGAGGCGACCCTGACGGCTTTTGGTAGTTGTCCCGCATGGCATGCGTGACACTGGAGACGAAGAGCTGCTCGGAGGGCCTGTAGAGGTGCTCCCGATGCCTTGAGGATCTTGTACAGCGTCTTGTTGCTCGGGTGGCCGAGGTTGCGGTGGAGCCGCGTCAGCCGTTGTTCCATCTCCAGCTCCTCCTTCTTGGTCGGTGTCTCGGAGATGCCCAGGCCCTTCATGACCGACTCGTCGTCCATGGCCTCGGGGTTATCCTGCAAGAGGTCTTCGTCGAGGGTCTCCTCCATCTCCTCTTCAGCGTCCTCTGGGATCTGTTCCAAGCTGGTGAAGATCTCCTTGCCGTACCTCGCGCTGGTGTTCGTCTTCAGGATATGCTTTGCCCAGGCCTTACACAGTGCTGGTGGGTAAAAGGCCGTCTGGGCCACCACCTGTCCGTCCTCGATGGGGCGGTGTGTGTGGTTGTCGCCCCTGCCAGGGCGGTTGGAGCACGTCCTGCCGAGCTTAGCGCCGAACTCCGGGTCTGTCGAGCATATGCGCCATGCCTTCCGCATCAGCAGGCCGGAACGAGCTTCGCGAAGTCCATACGCACAGCCATGGATGATCGTCTCATGCATCTGGTCGCGCATCGCCTTGATCGAGGGCGACCTGGTCCAGCTTCGGCTGGCAGCTGGCTGTTCGAGCTCGGTGTGGCAGTCGTGAATCTTCTTCGAGTCTTCCCAGAGGCTCTTGCAGTTCCGCTGGATCCGTCGGGCCTTGCGCACCTTCGCCAGGTACGTGGCCTTCTGCTGAGCTGTCTTCTGGTTGGGATTCTGGATCGGGCAGTCTGCTGTACATGGCGGGCTGAGAACCAAGCGGCGAGGTCGGAGTCGTCGGAGAAGGTGAAGTGCACGTCGAAGCCCGGTTGCCGTTCCCATGTCGATCCCATTGAAGAGGCCGCACCTGAACACTTTGCCTCCCTGATCCTGCACGGCCTTGCTGAGGCTCGAGTCCTCCGGACAGCACACCTCCATCAGGTCGATGCGGTAGGGCCTGCCGAGCTCCGTCAGGTCCTCGGCGATGGTCTGGTAGATCTCGTCCAGGACCTTGTCGTGGCTCTCGTAGAACATCTTGAGATCCTGGTCGCCGAGATGCTTCAGCGTTTCCTCTTCGAGTCCATCTCCGGCAGTTCCGAGTCGTCGAGCATCTCCGGAGTGAACTTCTAGCCCCCCTGCACCTCCGGGGAGTTCAGCTTGTAGGACAGGCGCCGCCAGCGTAGAGCCACGGCCTGCTCCCGGAGGGTCACCTCCGTCGCCTTCGTAGACGTGTGGCTCTTGCCTCCGCGGCAGCTGCACCCCCGAATCGTCTTCCCGAGGGTCCCGCAGCAAGAGCACGCGGACTTCGGAGGTCTCGTCACTGGCTGAGCCCCCGCGGGGCTCGGTGGGGTGCTGCTGGCTGTCGCTGTTGATGCCGCTCCTGGTGTCCCGGGTGCTCCCTGCTGTGGGGTCCTGAGGCACTGGTGGCTCTTGCCCCCGAAGCAGCTGCACCTGCGTTTGGTCTTCCCCAGAGCTCCGCAGCAGCCGCCCTTCCCTGCTGTGTTGTACCACTTCGCTGGTGGAGCCGGGATAGCTGGTGTTGCTGCTGATGCTGGCGTCGGGGTCGCTGGAGCCGAAGTTGTCTATCCCCTCGTGCGGGGGCGGCTTCACTCGGGGCGGGCCGCAGGCACAGGTGGTGGCTGTTGCTCCGAGGATTGCCCAGCCAAAGAACCGTCGCTGCATGTCATCCAAGCGGCCAGTGGCGGCCTGGGAAGAATATGGAGGTCGTGAGAGACTGCTGGCTGTGGCTATTGCCGAGTTGATGAACTGAGCCGAAGGTGGCTGCGAACAGCATGATGATGAACACCGATGGTATTGTGCTGGCTCATCGCTTTGCTTTTCCATATTTTGATCCTGAGGCTTGCTTGCTAACGGTCCTCTTGACTGTGGTGATGTCCCGATCGACGGTGATGATGAAGAGAGCCGGTCGGATGACCTGACCGTCCGTCCGAACGAAATCGAGGTTTCCGTCGCTCGAGCCGATCCGCTCCGTGTCGCAGTTTCCGTCGCTCTGGTAGGTGTCCGCGCCGCCGAGGTTTCCGTCGCTCTGGTAGGTGTTTCGAACTCGCGGTGACCGAGTCGGTGTGGCCCCCCCGATGATGAAGTTGACAATCGAGATAACTTCTCTTCTGCTGCCATCATCAGGGGGCGCTGTCCCTAGCGTACCGCAGGGCAGCAGCTGCACGGAGCGGCCTCCTCGGGCAGCTCCTCGACCAGAACATCGGGTGCCGTCGCTTCGGACGTCAGGCACCCGGCACTCGGCAAGGAAAGCGGCACCTCCTTCCACCACTGCGGCGTCGTCAGGTTGACGGCCAGATGGTTGCTCGAGAGGCGCTCGCAGAAGAACACCTTGTTGCCCATGGTCGGAAGGCCGATCCAGTTCCGGCCGCAGTCGACCACAACCTTCAGCGAGTCAGTCAGAATGTCCATGCCCAGGAGGATCGGCACGCGGTTCGGCATCACCGACAGCTTGACCTCGGTCAGGTCCCCGCCGAGGAACACGTTCCCCTTCACCGTGCCCATCGAGCTCTTCTGGAGGCCGTCGCCGAAGGTGAATGAGCACTCGTCCTGTGTCGTCTCGAACTCCTGGCCGTGCTGGTCCAGCATCTCGTACATGAGGTTCTCGACGCTCTCGAGGCCGCCGAGGCTCTTCGTGGCCCCGATGTCGAGGATCGCCCAGATGCCGTCGCGCTCCAGGAGGTAGAGGTACTCGTCGAGGGCGGACAGGACGAAGCCGTTGTGAGTAGTCCCGCGAGCTCCATATCTCGTATTGTCTTTCTTGAACCTCTCGTTGCAGTCCGCCGCTCGGTGACCATATTCGCCGCACGCGATGCACTTCATCTTGGACATGTCACGTCCCTTGCCCGTGTCGAAGCGAGCGCGGCCTCGACCGTTCTTGCCCCGGCCACGCTGGAAACCTCGTCCCGGGTTCGGAGGCGGTGCCACGCGATCGGGGTCCTTGAGCGACACGACCGGGTAGTAGTCGCGGGATACTCGAAGCCGTCGGATCAGGTCGCGAGCGTCCTTGAAGCTCCGGCCCACCTGCTTGAAATCTGCGAACACCTCGTTGTCCGCTGGGTTGTCGACAGCTGGCTCTTCATCTTCATCCTCTTCCGCGAGGGTGATCAGCTGCTCGACAACCTCTGTGTAATCAATATCTTCCCCACCAGTCTCGTCCTCAACGTCGTCGACGTGCGTGTCCTCATAGAAGGCCTTACGGTGCTGCTTGCCGTCGAGCTCCGCCAGCGCCTCCGCCGGGAAACGCGTGAGCAAGGCCTTGTATGTCTTGCCGAAGTTGAGGTCGCCACCTGCCGCGGCGGTGATCTCTCCACGTTGAACAGGGGATAGCTTGGACTTCCGAAGGAACCACCATGTCCGAAGAGGCTTCGCAATCACTTCCGTCACGCTTGAGTCAATGACTTGAAGCTGCGCCAACAGCTCACGCTCCTTCTTCTCAAATCTGGCGGCCCAGTCCTGGAAGGTCTCGCCTGAGTTCCGGCTGACCTTCAAGAAGAACTCCTCCGCGAGTAGGCCCGTGTCATTCAGGCTGGTGAAGTCCAGCTTCTCCAATACGTACTGAAACACCTTGTTCCACCCAATCAAAACGCCATCCTTGTCGATCTCGTCGACCGTGTCGATGTCCGGGCAGCTCTCCACCGTCGTCCGGACTCGCGCCCCGAGGGCGCGCACCAGCTGCGGCCCGCACACGTAGCGCTCCGCAGTCTTGATGCTCTTGGTGAACATGGAGACCTCAAACCTGTAGCTCGTCAACTTGTCAGCCTCGCCATTCCATGAGGGGACGTCGACGCGCGTCGTAGGTGGCCCGCTGGCGGCCGTAGTCGCCATTCAGGCCGAGACCGGTGGGAGCCCGTGGTTGTCGGAGACCACAGGCTCCGCTACCAATCTGAATACGAGAGCTCGTCCTCACGATCGTTCACGCTGGTGACGATGAGGAAGAGCGAGAGAAAGTATGTGTCGATGTCAATTATCTTGATAATTGTCGGAGGACACCTTTTGTCCACGATATGAACGGCCGCGCTGTAGTCTGCGCGGTCTGCCTGGCACGGCCAGGCTCTGTCAGAAAGAGTCCCGCCCTCCCTCGCCTTGAGCCGAGGGTGGCGGTGGCACGGACAGGGCAGACGGGCAGGAGGCAGCTGCTGCTCAAGCTTGCTCCTGCGTATCTTTCAGACCTTGGGAGCCTCTTGGGGGCTCTTGGGGTTTCTTCGGGGCCTCTTGGGGGTCTCTTGGGGTTGAGAGCTCGAAATGTCCGTTCGGGTCCCCCGTCTGGGCACTCTCCTGGAGCCGTCTTGGGGGCCTCTTGGGCCGTCTTGGAGGCGTCTTGGGCCGTCTTGGGGCCCTCTCCGGCCGTTACGGGACCCGCTTGGGGGCCTCTTGGGCCGTCTCGAGGCGATTTTGGGGGCCTCTTGGGCCGACTTGGCGCGTCGGGAAGCGGAAGAGGCAAGGACGCCAACATCTGTAGAAAACGTAGAGGAAATCCACGAACTTTGCCTCTTGGGGATCTTGTGGGAAGGCTCCTGGAGGCCTCTTGGGGCGCTTTGCAGGCCTCTGGGGCTGTCTGGAGGCCGTCAAGGCGTCTTGGAGCAGATCGTTCGGCGATTCGGGGTTCTCTTGGGCTGTCTTTGGGGCCTCTTGGGGCACTCTTGGGGCTTTTTAGGGATCCAGGACTCCCCGGGGGGGGCGTCGTATCTGACCCCCCCCCGTTCCCCCCCCATCCCCCCCTGGCGGGGGAGGGATCGAAGGGAAGGGGCTTCCCTTCGACTCAATTACGACGTTGCTCAACTTCGCTTTGGCTGGCGCGCTGAGGAGGTCCCTGGGAAATGGGGAAACTTCGACGAGCCCAGGGAAAGGGGGAAGGCAGGGAAAGGGGACGACAGAGACGACGACCAACGAATGACGGAGATGACGACTTGAACGGACAAGCCCCTCACACACGCCGACAGGGTCGGCGGATATCATCACATCGGGGTTATGTTCTAAGAATATTGTTTCTGTTATTAAAGCATTTGGGGGTTTTAAGAACACTTGGTGGTAGGCCTGTAGGAATGCCCGGACGGTCGGTCCCTGCTCAAGTATATTCGGCGGGAAACCAAGTGTGGAGCAAATCGATTCGGGGCGGCGCGGCCCGCCTGTGCGGCAGGGAAGGGGGCCCCGGCGCGCTGGCGGAGAGGCTTGCCGCCCGCGAAGGGCCGGCCGAGGCCGTGCTCGTCTTCCTCCTCGTGGGCGGCGCTTACTTCTAGGCCTCCCAGATCCGAGAGCAATGATACATCGACCCACAGTCGCCCATTGATCGCCGATTGGGGTCCGATAGCCCGAACCTGCCCAGGAACATGCGGATTCACTATCGGGGGCCCCTCGCCGATCTGTCGGCGATGTATCGCCGATTCTAGGTCGATATGTCCCCCCTATGCCAGTCCCCCCCTATCGTTGCCCCTCATAGATGGGGTCGGAGTAGATTGGGTCGGAGGATCGCGCCGCATCGCCGATACCGCTCGATGTGGAGCCCGATTTGCGTCACGTCGACGTTGACGGTGCATCGTCCACGTCAACGATGCATCGCTGGTCTATCGTCGATGCATCACCGATGCATCGCAAACGTACAGCCGATGCGGAGCGATCCTCCGACCCCATGTACTCCGACCCCATCTAGGAGGCCTCCATTACTGGGGAGGCGATACCCGTCAGATCTTGGCGTTGCAGCTTTTTCTCCACGGGCGTTTTCGCCCGGTTTTGGGCCTTGGGGCCCTCACAGATCTATGCGGCTCGAAAAATGAAGCAGAAAGATGGGGTCCAAGGCTCTGGTCTTGGTTTTTTCCATATTGCCATTTTCGCTCGCACCGTCGGATCTCAGGGAAAATTGGGTGGGGGAGCAAGCTGAACACTTGGGGCCCCAGAGGCTCCCTTTGAGGCCCTGAAGGGCCCATTCAGCGGCCCTCCGGGGCCCCTGTGCTGCAGCCCTCGCTGCCCCCCCCCCCCCCCATGACGCGACGCCCAATCCTCGGTGATGGGGTCGGGGTGCGGTGTGGAACTTCTGCAGGGTGCGTCGCGGCGGCGGGCCTGGCGGCACGTTGTGCCATGCGAGCGGATAGCGTGTTGCTCCGCTCCGCAGGGCGGCAGGCTCGCGGAACAGCTCGGGACGTTGACGCTGGGAGGCAGGGAAGTGGATAGCGTGTCGCACCGAAGCGTGGTGGGCCAGAACCGGCGGAGCGACACGCTGAGCCAAAGTTTCTGACCGCAGATGGGGTTGGAGGATTGCGGCGCTTCGCCGATGCATTTGCGATGCATCGGCGCCAGCGCTGACAGAGGCCTGCCGCCCGCGGAAGTTCGAAGCTGCTTTTGTTTCTGCCTTGGTGATCTAGGCCTCCCGGATGGGGTCGGGGCACCAGGACGCTACATACAGTCAAGTCTCATAGCAAGGATGAGCCATTTTCCAAGGCTGCCCTTGCATCCTTGCCCCTTCGGCGCATCCTTGGCCACTTCCGCTGGCCAACCCCTTCCGAAAACGCCAACCTGGCCCTCCAAGGCGCTCGCACTCTTACCGCGCATCCTTAATATTTATGCGCCTCGACTGCACCCTGCGTTTGGTAAGAAGCGTGGGGGGAGGAGGCGGAGGAGGAGGAGGGAGGAGGAGGAGGAGGAGGCGGAGGTGGACGAGGAGGAGGAGGAGGAGGAGGAGGAGGAGGAGGAGGAGGAGGGGAAGGAGGGGGAACGGAGGAGGAGAGGAGAGGAGGAGGAGGAGGAGGAGGAGGTGGAGGAGAGGGAGGAGGGGGAAAGGAGGAGAAGGAGGAGGTGGAGGAGGAGGAGGAGGGGGCTAAGGAGGATGAGTAGGAGGAGGAGGAGGAGGAGGGGGGTCAACGTCAACTTGTCCGCGCCCGTGGGCCGGAGGCCTCGTTTTTTTGTGGCGGGTGGCGCGGGCCGACGGAGGTCGACCCCCGCCGCAGACTGTTGCCCCCGACTTCCCCCCCCTGGGGCTGAGAGAGGCTGCGCCCCCCGCCCTCTGCGGCGCGGTGCGCGGCAGCGCCGGCAACCCACGACGACGACGACGACGACGACGACGACGACGACGACGACGACGACGACGACGACGACGACGACTGTCTGCCCGCGGCGGGGATCGATTTGGGGCTGTCGGCGGGGGCAGCGCCCCCCCGAGGAGGAGGAGGAGGAGGAGGAGGAGGAGGAGGAGGAGGAGGACGGAGGACGGAGGGCGGAGGGCGGAGGAGGAGGAGGAGGAGGAGGAGGAGGAGGTGGAGGTGGAGGAGGAGGAGGAGGAGAGAGGAGGCCCCCCCCCGCCCTCATCACCTAACGCAGTGTAAAAGCGACGCGGCCAGCCTGGGCGAGGGCACCTGCTGCCGCATGTCTTGTTCCCCCTCTCTGTTGCGAGGCACGCCTGGCCTCCGCGCGCGTATCCGGCAGGTGGCCTCCGAGGATGTTCCACATGTGAGTCCAGTTGTGCGTGCTTCCAGATTCTTGGCGTACATACATAAATGTGTATGTGTATATATAGCGTACATATATTTATATATGTATGTACATCGAAGAAAAAACATGCCATCATCATAAACTTTTGGCGCTCCGCGCGGACTTCTGGGGTCCGCGCTTGGGCCCCCCTGGTGGCACCTCCGGCGCCGTCCCGGGGTCCAGCGCAGATCCAAGAAATCCGCGCGGAGCGCCAACAATTTATGTTTCTGGCGTTGTTCTTTTTATGATCCAGATATGCGTGCTTCCAGCTTCCTGGTATGTATGGGGTCGGAGGATCGCGCCACATCGCTGGTGCATCGGCGATGCTCCTCGATGTGGAGCCCGATTGTCACCACGCCGACGCCGCCGATGCACCGCCGACGTCGGCGATGCATCGGCGATGCGGCGCGATCCTCCGACCCAACCCATTTGGGAGGCCTCTAACTGAGGACGTCGGTCATGCAGTCGCTCGATATCGATACCAGCGCGTCGTTCAGGTCGGCAAGCGACCCGCGGGAGGTTCAGGTCCGCCAGAGGTCGTCGACGACAGAGACGCCGTCGAAACAGAGTTTATCCAGCAAGAGCCTGGCCAGAGGCACCGTCGTCAACGTGCTCAACCTGGAGGGCACGAACGACGGCGACGACGGCGAAGAGAAGATCTCGGGGCTGGCGACGCTGATCACTCTCATCGGCGCCATGATCGGGGCTGGGATCATGGCGCTTCCGCAGTTGCCAGTGAAGGGAGGATGCGTGCTCGCCAGTTTGTTGACCGTGTTTACCGGGATCTCGACGATCGAGGCCGGGATCGTGTTCTTCGACACCGTGTACCGGCACAACGAGATGGCGAAGCGCGATACCAATTACAAGAAGATAAAAACGTTCGAAGATTATGGGCGGGAGGGCGCGGGGGCCCTGGGGTCGATGTTTGTGCGGATATCGGTGACCATTTGGTTCATTGGGCTGTGCTCGGGCTACTTCATCCTCCTGGCCCAGCAGATCAAGGGCTTGGGCGATGTGCTGTACGTCCCCGACATCAGCTACCGTGCCTGTGTGCTGCTCGTGCTGCCCGTCCTGTGGGTGCTGTCGCTGCAGCGCGACACCGCCGCCATCGCGAGACTCATGCCGCTCGCAACGGCCGGAGGGGTGGTGTCCTGCCTGGTCATCATCACGATGGGTATATGGGATTCGTCGTGCTGGAGTCATTGGAAGCACTCGATTCATACCATAGGGCTACCAGAGGTCGAAGAAGAAAAAACGCCATCAACAAACTGTTCGCGCTCCGCGCGGATTTCGTGGATCCATGCTGGGCTTCCCGGGCGGCGACTCGGGCGCCGCGCTCCGCGCGCTGGGTGAGGGAGCCCAGCGCGGATCCAAGAAATCCGCGCAGAGCGCGACAAAAATTATGTTCATGGCGTATTCTTTTCTTCTAAGAGGACATGACGTTCTTGAAGGCGGCCTCCATGTATGCCACGCTCAACGGCGCGTACGCTGTCGTGGCCAACCTGCCGTCCGTCGCGGGCGCGATGGCGGAGCCGGCCGAGTTCCCATGGGTGTACAAGGCCAACATATCTATTACCACGGTGTTGAATTTGTGCGTCATGCTTGCAGGCCACTACGGATGGGGGAGCTTTCTGCAAGACAGCATTGTCGATTCTATGATGTACAACCCCGCTTCCTACGAGGAGAGCCTTCTGAATCATACCATGTGGACTGGCCCAAAGGCGGTTATCCTCCCACGGGTCATGATCCTTGCCGTGACCGTGAACATCATTCTCAGTTACCCTCTTTGTTTGATGTGCGTGTTCTTGTCGGTCGAGAACACGGAATTCGGCTTGGCGAATTTGCCGGTCGGCTCTAAAAAAAGTTACATCATGCGATCTACGACGGTAGCTCTCACAGGGGCAATCGCGTTTTCGACGGAGAATTTTGCTGACGTCTTTGCCCTCTTTTCCAGCGTCTGTGGCCCCGTGCAGGGCATCTTCTTCGTGTTCCTGTTTGCTCGGAAGATAAGGCAGCAGTCTGCAGCTCCTGAGTACGGTGTACCTCGCAAGGCCTTCCACGTTGTGCTCATGGTCTGCGCGGTGTTTTGCATTGTATTTGGGCTGTACGATTCTACCATGAACCTCTTGAACCCTTCGCCCGCCACCAGTGAGCCACTAAGTGGTGGGACCCCAGCTCCCACTCCCAATGTGACTGAGGCTGTGCTCCCGGGGAAGAACACGGTTCAGGCCGCCATGGCAGTCATCTCGCGATTCTGAGCGCGGCTGACAGCACGACTCAGGGTCCTCCCTCAGAGGCTGCGTGCGCAGTGTTCTGCACGCCGCCCTGAGGGGCGCGCCGAGGCCGCAGGCGAGCAGCTTGAACAAGAGTTGCGCCGCCGAGGATTGGCCCAGCGCCCAAGCCCGCCCCAGGTAAGAAGCCAGAAGTTCAGCGCTCGCCCCAGCTGCCTCGTAAGATCGATGCACACGCCTGGGCGCTGAACCTACGCAGCTCTGCTGCTACCGAAAGGTGAACGGTACTCTCTCTCTCTCTCTTTCTGTGTCTCGCAGGCGCAGCCGCCGGCGGCAAGGTGGAGCCCAAGGCATGTCCCACGATTTGCAAGATCTCTCCAATCGATCTTCTCCGTCTGCTTACCACCTTGTAGCGATCGCAGTGCAGCCGACGACCAGTTTTGGCTCCCCCTCATGAGATACGGCGCGGCCCGGCGCGTCCGTCGCCAGATACCGCTTGCCTTTCGCGTTCGTTTGCTTTATTTATACGCCAGCGGGAATTGTGAAGGAGCAGCAGCAGCAGCAGGAGTCGGCATTCGAAGAACGCTACAGTATCAAAGTATAGTATTAACGCGTCGCGTATCCCCACCAGCCCATCTAGGAACGATGCCCAGAAGAGCGTCCTTTTCGGGATACCTCGGGGAGCTTCAGTGGGCTAGAAGCCTCGTGGATGCCTCTCGGACGGAGTCCCTTGGCATGTCTCATGGGGGAGTCTTGGGCGTCTTCGGGGCCTCTTCGTTGCTCTTGGGGGTCTCGTGGAGTTATTGGGTGCCTTTTGGGGCCTTTTAGGGTTCTCTTGGGGGCCTCTTGGGGGCCTCTTGGGGGCCTCTTGGAGGCCTCTTGGAGGCCGCGGTTTTCTGTTGCATACGTTCCAGGTGGAGAACCTACGACCCAAACCACGTTCAGTGTACAAATCAATGTTTGTCGGCGCCTGCGGCGGGCTGTTTTTCAATTCGTCCCAGGAGGAGGAGGAAGAGGAGGCGGAGGAGGAGGAAACGGTAAAGGAAAAGGTGGAAGAGGAGGAAGAGGTGGAGGAGGAGCCCCCTTCGGCAGCCCCGGTGCTCTCGATAACCAGGTCAAGGCCGTGCTGACCAAGGCCCGCGACACGCGTCTGGCCCTGCTGGAGGTGGGGCACGCCGCGACGGAGCTGGTGTTCACGAGGCTCTGGGCCGACGTGTCGAAGCTCTATACCAGCTACGGCTTAACGGGGACAGGGTTAAGGACGAGTGCTTGCAACAGTTCGACAACGACCTCGGCGAAGCCGTGCAGCTCGTCGCGGGCGGCGACTTACCTGACGCAACGTGGGAGCAGTGCGCGCTCGGCGTGGGCACGGGAGGCCAAGGCATGCGGGCCGCCTCGCAGGTGTCTCTCGCGGCCTTCGTGGCCAGCCGCGTGTGTTCGAGGCCTCACGTGCGGGAAATGGCCACGCACCTCACAGAGAGAGGCCTGGACGAAGCAGGGGTCATCATGGCAGAGTACGACAGGCGCACGGACGACGCCGCGGCCCGCCTTGTCTTCAGTCTGCCGCCCACAGTCGGCGGCCTCGTCGTGGCCGCGCTCCCGGAAGGCCGCCGCGGAAGCCGAGGGTCGGTGGGCCGCCTTTTTTTGCCCGGCAAGCGGAGGCGCCCGCTGCCGCGCCGCAGGAGCGCCGAGGCCGCCCCCGGGGCATCGGCCGCAACCTGCTTCCGCTCGACGAGGACGAGGACAACGAGCACCCCAACGCCGCCCCGCGCACGCAGCAGCTGCACCTGCAGCGGGCTCTACTTCGCTACCTCGACAAGCAGGGGCGACACGACCTTCGCAAGCGGCACGCGGACGCCGGGGACGACGCAGCGCTGCGGCGGCTCGACGACCTCGAGCACCCCGACTGCGACCATTTCTGGCTCTGGAGCCTCTCGAAGCACAAGGGGCCCGTGATGGACAACCCCGATTTCACCGAGGCCTTGCGCCTCCGCGTCGGTGCCGCCGCGCCGCTGGACCCGGTCCCGTGCGGCCTCTGCGGCCAAGCGGTTCTCGACCGGGCGGGGTCGCACGCCCTCTGCTGCTGCCGGGCGGAGTCTACACGGGGGCACCACGCGGCTGCGCGCCGGGTGCACGCCGCGGCCACAGTCTGCGACCCTGGCGCAGAACTCGAGGCCCCGGGCCTGGTGCCAGCCACGCGCCTCCTACTTGCCGACGTGCTGACTGGCGCCCTCGGCAATGGCCTCCTGGCCCTCGACGTGGGCATCGCCTCGCGGCCGGCCCAGACTGCGCGGCCACCATGCACCGGCGCTAGGTCGAGCACTACTCGGCTCACGCCGGCGTTCTGGCGCGGCAGAACAACACCTACCAGCCGCTGGTCTATGCTGCTACGGCCGACCGCGCCCCCGGACGACAGCCATCTTCCGCACTTTCGCGATGAAACAATCGCGGAGGCGTGGCTGCTCGGATGGGGAGTGGCGGCGCAGGCGGCTGGCCGCGGCCATCGGCACGGAGCTGTGGCGCCGCGCCGCTCGGCAGGTGCAGGCGTGCTGGCCCGACCGGGGGGGGTGCGCCACCTAGGCACCCCGTTTCCGCGGTACCAACGCGACCCCTTGGCCCGCCCCCGTCCGCCCCCGCGCACGCGCGCCTAACAGCGGGGCTGGTGGCTCACACCCCGCGGCCGTGCACCCCCGCCCCCCCGCCGCCCGCTCGTGTGCCCCCCTGCCTTGCCTGCCTGCCGCCCTCCCTTCCTCTCCTGGGCCCGGAGGCCGCGCGCAGGCGCTCAAAGCACCCGGCGGCTGTGTAGCTGCTCGTTTCCCTCCTGCTCCTCCTCCTCCTCCCCCTCCTCCTCCCTCCTTCTCCCTCCTTGTGTGCCGGGTCATTTGTGCGGAAATCTGTCGGTATTGCGCGCCGGAGAGTTGGGCCGCACATCTGCGTCTGTCCAGTTTCTTCAGTGTTCCTCCTCCTCTTCTTCCTCCTCTTCCTCCCCCTCCTCCTCCTCCCCCTTCTCCTCCTCCTCCTCCTCCTCCTCCTCCTTCTCCCCTCCTCCTCCTCCTCCTCCTCCTCCTCCTCCTCCTCCTCCTCCTCCTCCTCCTCCTCCTCCTCCTCGTTACAAGGCGTCCTGGCCCGTCGTGTTTCCGACCCACATGGCATTGCGAAAGCGGCCAGGAGCGGCAACGCCACGCCGTTTTCATTCACTTTTACTCCGGCCTGGGTCAGGGGCTGCGGCTCGCAGGTCTGGAGTTGCGCAGCATCACACACCACGAAGGGAGTTTGCGGTGCGACAACAAAAAAAGAGGAGGAGGAGGAGGAGGCGGACCACGACCACGACGACGATGAGGACGAGAACGCGGAAGAGGAAGAGGAGGAGGAGGAGGAGGAGGAGCAGGAGCAGGAGGAGGAGGAGCAGGAGGAGGAGGGCGCCATCGACAGGGTGCCGGCTCGTCGTTGATCGTTGACCGGCGCCCGCGCCCGCCCCCCACTCTTATCCGCAATTGCGGGGTGCTGCGTATTTATTTCTCTGGCGCGTGGCATTTGGGGCCGCCAAAAGAGCCGCAAGGGATGGGGACATTCTACTATTCGCGCCCAGATTGTGGGGGGGGTCTCAAGCTTTTTTTTTTTGACCTCCATGTTTCTCCCCTTGGGTGGTCCAGTGCTCATTGCGATATATCAGGCGTGGCACTCGGGCACCCCAAGAGGGATCCGCCAGGGGTGGTTGCATGTCATTGGTCGCGGCGCCCAAATTGCGGGGATGTCGCATGCCGTTTGCCAGTTTCTCCCCCCCCAGTTCTTCAGCTGTCAGGGCAGATTGTGAGGATGTCTCAGGAGGTTTGCTCGTCTGGTTGCTCCGACTGCTTTGCTTTCAGAGCAGGTTGTGGGGATGCCCCAGGCGGTTTGCTTGTTTGGTTGAGCAGACTCTTTCGTTTTGAGAGCAGATTGCAAGGATGTCTCAGGAGAGGCGTTGGTTTTAGCACCCTACGGGCCCCCCCAGACGCCATTGCATTCAGAGCAGATAGCGAGGGTGTCTCAAAAGATCTACCAGAGGAGGAAGGAGGAGAAGGACGCAGGAGGAGGGGAAAGGGAGGAGGAAGAGAAGGAATGGGTTACAACGAGGTGGAAAAGGAAGGAGAGGGGAGGGGGCTTGCTCACCGCAAGTTTGTCTGTGGGTTCGTCGCGCCCGTCGTCCAGTCGGCGGATGCACACACGCACCCAGACGCTCACAGCCAGGCACACACAGCAGAAAGCGTGGGGAACGAGATGCACATGTGGGGATCTCCGCGTCGAGTGAGTAGTGAGGAGTATTGGTGCCCACCTTCCCAGAGGAGAAGGGGGGGAGAGTCGAAGAAGAAACGCGCTAAACAACCTCCGCCCAGAGGGCTCGTGGGAGTACGCGGGGCATTGTTGTCCCATGGCGGCTGGAAGCTCAAACCCCCCCTCACGGCCGCGCACGGCGGGCATGAGCTGCTGGGCAGCGTTGGGAGGCGTCCTACGGAAACCCCCCACGGCAGAGAGCCCCGCTTCATGCCGTTCCTAGTCCACCGAGATTCGGGGCCCCCAGACGGTGTGGTGACCACACCGCGTGGTGAGTCGTCGCGGAGTCGGGGTCACCATGAGGTTTGGGGACGAGGGTTGTTCCCCGAGGATGTCTCGGGCAACTGTGACCTCCTGAGCCCCAAGACTGTGACGTGACGGACCGCGCGGTGAGGTCGTCGGGTATTCCGAGGTCACCACGCGGTCCGTCACCACACGGTTTGGGGGCTCCTACGAGATGAGGACGAGGACGAGCAGGAGAAGGGGGGGGTGAGCCGAGCAGCGTACAAGGGATGAGAAGCAAGTTTGAATTCACGGGAACAATAACTGACACAAACCTAAATTGTCGGAGGTCCGCCCAGGTTTCTTGGATTGGCGCCAGGGCCCCGTGGTGGCGCCTCCGGCGCCGCCCCTGGCGTGCTCCGCGCGCCATGGAGGGGTGTCCAGCGCCGATCCTCGAGGCCAACGTGGACCTCCAAAAGCTTATATCTATGTGT